CCCCACCGCCTAGAAATGGTTTTGCCGATCGCTGAAGGAAGGGCAACGGAGCGATATTTGCTGGAGTCCGCTGTAGCCTGCGGAGTCTTAGGTAGTATCAGGACAGTGGCCGTTTTCAAAACAGGAGATAGTTAATCGCTTCCTGCGGCAGCCTTTTAAGCATTTCGTTGGTAATGCCGTCGGGGCGGAGTGCTTTCCGTCGGGAAAGTGCAGAAACTATATCAGTGATTACACCGGGTGTGCTCGATTTAATAAGTTCGTCAACAATGGTCTGGTTATCCAATTATAGGCAGTTAAGCCCTTTTATACCTTTACAAAAGTTTAAAAAAGAAGTTCTATTTATGTTTATTTGTTTAGATTAAGTTTAAGGTTCTTAGAATAAGCATGTTTTATTTGGTTAAATGATACATTAGAGGCATTAATTACCATACTTGTATATAGTAATATTTTTAACATAGTCTCTGCCAAACTGATTAAGGATGCGTTTATTTCTTAAGTATTAGTTTCATATTTTTAATTGGTCTATCTTTCAAGTATTATTTTTGCGTAGTTTATAATTGTTTAAATGTATGTGTAAATTTAATATAATTTAATTATTACGTCTACATGCGTTGTCAAACGGTCTTTTTTTTTTTCCAGTACATATCTCTAGTTACGTGTTTAATTATATTCATAATTTGTAAAAAGAGAAGAAAAAGTTTGTTAAATAACCTTATTTAGTTTGTTAATAATATCGTTCCATTATTTTTCCAAAAGGGTAAATGAAATTTAGAGGAGGATAACCACTTAAAAAAGTAGGAAAGTAAACTTATATAGAATTGACTACTTTACAGCAAACAAAAAAAATTTCAATTTTCTGTGAAACTTGATAATCTTAGTAATTCGCAGGAACTAAAACGCTTTAAACTCTAAATTTCGTTCTTCTACCTTGTGCTCACACCATGTGAATTAGGCACGTGTCATAGCACACGGCGACTTTCCCATTATTAGTTATTTACTTTTCACTCTCCCTGAAGGTTTGAGTACAAGAAAGGTAAGCCCCTCGCTCCTCTCCTTTTTTTCCATTCAATATATTATTCACTCCCTCTGCCTAACTCTTGTCGAAGTTAGACTCAATGTTTCCAAGGTTAGCAGCCGATACCAGTAGTATAAGCCTGTATTTTCTAATTTACATAGTACTTTATATAGGTCTCCGTCTTCTCTTCCTCATATTCAATTTTTATTAAAATATGTATGGGGTTTTAGCTTAATTCAATTATTTAGCTGAAAGGTTTTTTGAAGTCAGAACCTACGTCCGCATATTAGGTCCGGCAATTGGTTTGGGCATGTCTGCCATATTAACCTTGAAGCGGTGATGAAAGTGATTCTTGAGGGCCACCAACATTTAAACCCTCAGATTCAAATTTACCGCGCCTGTACGAACTGTGAATGTTCCATTAGAAAAAATATTTTTTTGTTATCTGGAATGAGGACCTAAAAAAGTTAAGCTTAACTACTTTATAGAGAAGTCCATAATGCCAAACTTTAACGAAGGCTTTCTTAACGTCTATAAATATAATTACGATATATCTTCAATCGTTATAGGCTTTAGCAACACATACTGAAAGTTTTAAACTGTTGAAATGTGTAGTGGTATAATGTTCTTTGCTTCCTCAAAGTTTTTTAACTTTTGAGTATCACAGTGTCCTCAACTTTACTCAAGCAGTATAGTAAAGTTATGGGCCGATAATCTTCAATAAAGTTTCCTGGTTTTTTTTTAATTTGGGGAAACAAACAATTTCCGCTAACCTTTTACGATTTGAAAAGTGAGATATAGATAACATCAAATTAAAAAGCTCGTTTCATAGGCAATAACCTTAATAGTGAAGGGTTTGTGCATTTGGTTTGTGCATTAGGTTGGATTTAGCGTCTAGTCAAAGGGTCTTTTTGATCCTGAAGGTGTTGACTACAGTTCTTAATTTCCTCGCAGCTAGCAAAATAGATATTGTCTAAATTACAGTTGGAGGTTGCCTTTAAACAAGATCCCTCTTCTTGAGCCGTAGGAGAACTCTCGGAAAACGAGAACAAGTGTTGAGCAAAAAACGTTATTTATCTCTGGCAGTACGTGGCACCCCATGTTCATGAACTATGGGCGGTGTGTTCTAATGTAGCAAGGGTTGAGGGAGCCCGCAGGACACGAACATTTTAACTTGTGTTCCCAAAATCTGTCTTTATATAATTTAATTTAAAAGCAGCGTCTTCTTTAATCATCTGCATAATAGCGGGAAGCATTAATAGACTAAAGGATCAAGAAAGCTTAGAGGTTGAAGCAGAATTATAAGCATTTTGAATTCTTAATTCTAGTTAATTGACTGCATTATCGATACCTATCTCTAAAGGCGAAAAAGTATATCTATATATTAACATAATTTTAGTCCAGTGAGGTTTGAGAAGTTGCCAATAAGTTATTTTGATGGCATTTATGCCCCCAGAAAAACATTGCCTTCCAGCTCAATAAGAACTAGACTATGGTGGAGGCAAATTTTATATAGAATTAATACTTGCAGCAGTGACATAGACATATTTTTTTAACACTGAAATGTCCAATACTTCAGTGCTTTCTCATGGTGTAAGGTGAGTTGGGTCATCTGGCCCCTGAGTAAGTAATTCTGATTAATTAGCCTAACCAGCTAAGAGTTTCTTATTTCTATTCGCGTAGCCACTGTTCCAATGCGGTGTGCTTGTAATTGGAGATTCCAGCCAACAAAACTGAGCTCTATTAGCCAAAGATATATTTTATCTTCCTAAAATAACTTTTTTCTCGGGGACGTTAAGCTGATATCGTTGATACATCGCCATCCTTCTGGAATTTGACGCGTATCTCAATCGCCAATCGCTTTTAAGCTTTATAAGTACTTAAAACTTACTTATTACCTTCTTTTAAGTGAGTTTCGAAATGAGAATAATACCAATTTAGTAACAAGTAACAACAAGTAACATCAAGTAATTTAAATTTTTGGTTCCTAAAGCCTTTAGCGTTTTTTATTTTTTTACGATATTCTTTATTTAACATTGTTAAGATTCTCGGTTAAATCGCCTATTGGTTTCGAAAATTGGGTTACCAGTATCCTCAGTTAGGGAGACTACTACAAGATTAACTTATAAATCATTTATATTAGCAGATGCTGATGGCTATTTATCACAGTTCGAAATGTAAGCATAGCTCATATTTGGTTCTAAAGAACAAGCTTTGAAATTTATTACATAGTCATGTCTGCCAATTTTTTTGAGAAGAGCATTTTCAGATTACAAGATGCATCCTCTGGTTTGCGATTACAGTTTGCACATCTTTACTCCGCTTAAAAAAATCAGAATTTTTATGTACGAACAAAATTAAATAATTAAACACGTGATTAATTATAGATTGCGTCAAATAAAAAAAACTTAATTAAATGTATCAATTAAATTAGGTGTCTATTAAAATTGTGTAGTGTAAGATCATATAGCTGACGGTTAAAATTGATTTACAAATGACCTGCGGAATAATTAAGAACCAATTAGTTGTAAGGATTATCATAAATCATTTTATATATAACTAATAATGACCACAAAGGATTCCAGGATACATTCATTATTATTATTTACCCTTTAAAATGGCTTTGTAATATTCTTTTAACCCTTTGTTGTCAACCGCTGTTAAGTTTTGATTAGTGCAGTTTAATCCCACGACTCTAAAAATACAGTATTTTTTTTTTTGCTTGCGCCTCATCTCGAGCACTAAGCGTAGTTATTGAGGAATATTAAAAGTTTGTGAGAATTGGTAATAATTACTATCTAGAGAAATTTACGCCTTTAGTAGTGAAACTTTCTGTCGAAATTAACCGCACATATGAAAGAGATTGCCTCCAGTTGAATGCGATTAATCCGTTATAAGGGTAAACAAGTTCGACACTTACCAGTTTGTAGGCCTTCATTTAGCTTTTTACTAAATATTTTGTTATAGTCCACTATATATTATTAAAAAAGTTTAGTTAATTTTAATTAATTTCAAGAATGACAGTAGGACCTCATTAGTTTTTGTACCACTGATACGATTGAATAATGGTCTGAAAGGTGCTAATGAGTAAATGGTGACAATATGGCTAAAAGGTATTTAATTTAATAGAGTTATATTTACTGCATCTTTAGCGTTTTTATAAAGGTTATGCTAGAGAACCAACTTCCTTTTTCTGTTTTTGCTAGCGCATATTCAACCTCTACGTTATCAGTACGCTTCCAATGCTCTTAACCACTCAGCTACGACGACAACTGAATCTCGGTAAGATGGCTGTACGTACATAACCTGTTAGAGGAAGTGCTTTTTGTTAATTTTAATGTTGTCGTTTGAAAATATAGTACAGTTCAGTATGGAGAATACATCCTTTAATCAAAACAATGATTTCACCTTCCTTTTAGTTTTCTCTGTTGTTGCAATATGTATATCTACACTATGAAAGTGCTCTTGTATGAGTTTCAAAAATTTAGGCTGTCAATATCTATGGTAATATCTTGTGGTGACCGTGTGCCTTACTACAGAGATTTTTAATTTAAGCGCATACTTAAATGAGATCATTTAAGAATCATATTACTTTCTTTAGTCAGTTAATCGATTAAACATCAAAGTAACGAATATATATTGTGGACTAGGCTGCTTTTAGCACTCAGGAAAAAAAAATTGGCTACGTTAGCAACATCTTTGTCTCCGACCCAAAAGTTTACAATGGTTACTATACTACCATTTAGACTATTTTATCACATAGCCTTATTCTCTTCTTTAAAGATACGAATACTCACACGCGAAGAAAATTTCAAAAAGTATATTTGACTAACCCGAGGGAAACAAAAAGCTTGGGTTTGACCATCAGGGTAGTGCGAAAACAACAAGTAGCCACCACGAGGCGAGGTTTTTCTAAGACTGGCGGACACTACATACCTATTCTGCACAGAGTCAACTGTACAGTTTTCATTAAGCGGTCCTCTGATAGAGCTTTATTCAACTTTATAATGGAGTTCAAATCCTTATTGGAAACGTATTTTGGGGTCTGTATAACGTACTTTTTTTTTAAAGTTTTTTTAAATAACCTTACTAAGTATTCCAAGAGATAATACCTTGCCCAAACAAGTCTTCACTTTGACCAAAGATACGCATTTCGTGAAATTTTCTGACTTGAAGGAAACTTTTAAAAAAAAAAAAGAGGAGAATTGGTTGACTCTCGGTATTTTGTGCAAAAAAACTTTCGAGACTTTTAGCGAAGTGGTATTATAATACTTTATTCTATTAGCTCCGGCCAGTCTTTTATTTTTAGCTACTGGCTTTTAAATGATATATAGATATAACTACTTGAAAGATAGTTTGAACTTTAGTATACACTTTTAGTGTAAATCTGTAGTAAAAACTAAAATTTGTAAATGCTTTTTCAGCATGCTAATTATACATACATCTCTATGAATATATGTTAAAGCCCTCCTGTTGTGCCATATGGTGTATGTCTCACCTTCACTACAAAATAGCACTTTTATTAGGCGAGGAAGTTTATAAAAAGGTATTTTGCTTTACGTTCTAATTGTCTAGTTTTACTAAATAAATTAAAATTTGTGTTCTTGGTTTAGTATAGCCATCTTTCTTTGGGAACTGTGGTTGCCTTAGCAAACCCCATAGTGTACGTTAGCGATAATGTAAGTATATATGAGTAGAGTAATATAAATTTAAGTTATAAACTTTTTTGCAAGTCGGAGAAACTTTTACTAGAGATACCGAAGTTGGCGAACTTTTTCCCTTTAGGGCACTCCGCAGATTCGTCTTTTTGCAGGAGAAAGTCAGATACCGGTGCTCCGTGTAACGAGCTTTCCGTGAGGTGCGGATAACGCTTCCAGCTCAACGCCTCTTTTTTGAGTTTTTGTTTATACAAATCAGAGGCTCCCGCTATTGTGACGCTCACGCCAAGCTCTGCCTGCAGGCGATCCGCCTCAGACGCCAAACGTTAAATATCTGGTTCGTTTGTTTTTGCTTCTTTTTTCTATTTATTTTTAGCTAAAATTGTTATAATAGCCCATCCAGCCAATTGGATTACTCCCAAGGGTCCATCAATCTTACTAAAGAGGGGATTTTCAACTATCACGGTAGACCGTTCTTTTTGTTTAACTTGGCTTAAGTAATATACACTCTTACAGGACGTTATTTGTCTTTTGCTGAGAAAAAAATCAGTAGAAGCGCTGCTACTCCAGTAGAAAGACCTCTTGGTCTTCTCTCTTAGTTATGAGTGCTTGATTAATTAGTAATTCTCTTATAGTAATTTTTTCCGCGAATAGTGAGCACGCCTTGAAGCAGTCTAGACACGGAGCTAGACAGTTTTATGGCCAAGGCACTTTTTATACCATACATTGATGTATGACCGTTACTTCTTACCTATCGTTATCCGATACTTCAATCTTTAAAGAATGCGATGACTTTCAAAATTTTGTTTTTAGTCAAGACCATCTGGCTATAGTCCGTGATCTGGGCCTCTGCCCTTACACAGGTCACTTGAATTTTTTATAAGCAGAAATTTCTGTTATTGCGTTACACAGTACTCATTTGTATGTTTCTCACATGTTGAAGGAAGAGACAAAAAGTCTTTAGAAGCACAATTAAGTTTTGATGACAAGAATGAAACGGTTAAAACTCTTTTAACTGGCGACAAGGTTGAACTTTTTCTGATATGGCTAACTTTTAGTTAAGTACCATTTTAAGTTTCACCGATTAGTTAAGTTGGTCAAGTGCGAAAGGCTTCCCGAGAGCAAGAGGATTAAAGTTTGACTATATAAAAACCTGCGACTATATAAAAACCTGCAAGTGATTAGCTGCGCCCAATATACTCTGTAGGGCCCCTTTAATCACGTCCACTACAACGAATTATTAGCACAGAATCGAAAAAAAGTGTCTTCTATGACCCCTTCCCACTCCAAGGTGGAGACATTACGTAGCCGACGATCGAGATCGCGAAGTGCTTCCCAGAGGATAAGGTCAAGGCAGTATTCTTTTGCCTGCTCCCCAACGACGTCTCTAGCTCCTGGGGCGAGTGGTGGCATCCAGGGTTAGCTTTTGCAAAGCGCAGAGTACTTTCATGCCGGTGTATTATCTCGTTTAATAGGTCTGCAAAAGAAAAAATGTTCAGCACCTGTTCCTCACGCACTAAACCTTGACGAGATTTTAACTCTGCAATCCCCCCACGAGGGTTATTTTAAAGTAGCGTCCGTGCTCAATCTTCTATATAGAGATCTTTTTATGTATGTAATTTTACACAGGATTCTATGGCGGAGTAATCCTTTGAAAAAGTTGACTATATTACAGCAACTATGGAATAGTTTAAAGATATAATTTGTGTGATAAATATAATTTGTATGATAATTGGGTTTGAGGATAAATTTTGAGGCCATGCGAACTGTTGTTTTGCTTTTTAACGCCAAGTGCATTGGAGGCGGCAGGTACAACACTATTATTTATGGTGGTTAGTACATAATAGCGGAACGTTAAACTAGTTTGCCTGTACTAAAAGGTGATACGTAATTCTCCCTCCTGTTTTTGACTCGTAAGTAACTGTATGCAATGGCCATATTAATTTTTTTCAGGTTATTATGCACATATATTAATAGGACACCGACTCATATGTGCTTATTCAAGTAGGCCGTAGAGAGATAATAAGATTTGCATTCTAAGCCTTTTTTTTTATACGCTGGGATAATGAACACCTAAACACAGTTGAAAGCTGGTACCATTAAATAAATTATACAGCTGCACGAGCTTAAATAAAAAATTAAGAGGGCACTAGATAAGTTATTTTAGTGGAGTTCTTCTTCACCATAATTCTTCTTTAAACACATAGCCAAAAGTTTGGAGGCCACCTTTGTGCCAATCCTTATTATTAGCCTCGATGTTCTTTACTTGCAAAGGGTAAAAAGGCATTATTTTCAGCCGATACCAAAGGAACTATAAGTTTCTATTTACTTAATATTTTATAACAAAAACTTTAATCAAACAAAATTACATACCCTTTTTTACAGACCTCAATTGTTATGTTTTAAAATCTATTGCGAAATTGAGTGTTTTTTGTCCTATTTAGTGCCAGAAGGTTTTAATATCTTCTAACTTTGTTTAAGGAGTAAATACCCCTATCAACCCGCTCAAGCTTTGAGTAGTTATTTTGGAGGCCTTTACTTCCCCGATACTTGCACGTAGTTAAAAATAAACGATTTTTTAATATTTTCTATTCGGGGCTTAAAACTTTTCTATAAACATTGCTTTTAAGAAACCTTAAAAAACGAAACACCCTTGAAGCGCTACTTTTCTTATACATGTAAAGAAAAAGCTAATATTTTTATTAAGTTTGGCAAAATAAAAAGTGACCAAACTTGTAATGCCAATGACTTGTCAAGTACAGCATCGTCTAAATATAAAGATATTCTATTTTTAAAATTTTTTAATGGCCAAGAAAAGGATATTGGAGTGACGTACAACTCCAAGGTCTTCTCACTAATAAATCAGCTTGTACTTAACGGCCTCTTTGAGCCCTCAACTGAAATCTTATTGGGAACTTCTTACTGGTTGAGTCAAGAGCTTATAAATTTAAGACCCTAAGGTTTCTGCTGCTACTTCTGCTTTACGTACGCGGCACCCGTATATAAATTTTGTTTTAGTTTGTTAGTTGTAAAGGTTGCATACCTTCTGTTTGTATGTCTACTTCCGACTGGGAAGAGGAAGTCTTAACTTTCTAATTTCATATCTTTAATTATTTTAATCTTTAAAATATTAAGCAGTTTATGCTTTTTGAAGTACAAGGAATTTTGAAAAGAGAATATCTAAAGCACTGCGAGGGAGAATGTCGTCTACTTGTTAGTTTTAAGTTTCAAAAGCTAAATTTCTTATTGAATTCGTTTTACAAGTTATAAATTTTTAAGGGTCTCAAAACTAGTTCTCCATTGCTTCAGATCGGTAGTTATAACTTCACGGGTGTATATAAGCACACAGTAGGCACTGATCTCTATTTCGACTGTCTGCAAGTAGGTAATTATTGTTTTATTTAATTTTCGTTAGGACTTGTCTAAAGAGATAACTTATTTTCAGATGAAAACACTCCACTAGAACTTATAGCCAAAGGGACTAAAAGAATTTATTTTACCCCAGTTTCACTTAAAAGAACTGAAAATTAAACCCAAATATAAATTTTGTATACGAAAGACCTTTATTTTAAAGTAAAATAAATGGTTAAGGTAATTCTTTTCTTTCTCCTTCCAACTTTCCATCTCGATTAGAAGTTTTTAATATTACCACTAGTTTATTTATAAAGGCAATCTATAGCTTGTATATGTGAGGAAAATTAATTTTTACTATTGGCTTTTATTTATAACATATACTAGACTTGAATTTGCTTACAAGCTAACTATGTGCGTTTCATCTGCCACACCAAGGACTCGACTTGCTTTGCATTTTACTAAGTTTGCGGTCTTTTTTGGCTTTAAGCTTAAGAAGTTGTGCAGAACTACTTAATTTATTCATCTCTCCTTTCTTCCTCCCCTGTAGAAGGATTTTTTCAAGCGATGCTCTAACCCTGGCTTTTTTTGCGTTATTTCCCCACGTTAAACAGGATAAGAGATAATACTGAACCTTGTGTAATCTGGATTTCCGTTAAAAGCATGATTTGGTTGTAGTACCATTTTGTATATTGAATCAGCGATTTATTAAAGAGGCTATGATACAATTTAAAGTAATTAAGTCAAGCGTGCACGCCCTTTTGAAAAGAAATTTTAATTTTCTTTGAATTACATTTAATCTTTTATGCGGACACGTGGAATGGCATCCTTCATTGGGCTGTAATTACAGCGAGGTACATGTCAACAATCTTTTAAAGAACCTTCGAGGCAACTGTAAAGATTGGACTTGGTAGCACTATGTAGCTTTTTCCTTTGTGGGGCATATAACTGACGGCCAAAACCTGGGGTGCCTCCGTTCATTGTTTTTACACTGCTTTAGTAAGGTGAGGTTGCTCTCTGTCTTTAGGTGCTTGCCATAAGGCGGTCTAAAAGAGAGGTCTTATATTAATAAGGTGTCTAGCCTTGGTGTAAATCCTGGAGATCAACCCGTGCTAAAAATCTATGGTGATAATAGCTAGTCACGTAGAGATGGAAACCTTTGGCTATTTAGGAAATCTTCGACTGGTGTTTTTCATTATGAGGGAGTGTGCTTTAACGAGTGTTATCTGTGGATAATTATATCAAGCTTTTGCCAGCAGCTGTATTACAACGTTGGGTTTTATTTTTGTTTTCGATGCCACTAGTTGTAAGCTTGTCCACCAGTTATATTTATCTATATAGCTACTTTAAACTAAGTTAAAAGTTCTACAATTAAAAAGCATTCTTAGGTTAAATACTACTCGTCACAGTACCCCTTTCTGCTCTTTACCCGTAAACTTATTTTCTCTGGTGTACACATCTGTTACTTTTTTGGTCTTTAGTGACCCAATTTGATAGGGTTGGGACAGGGGGCTGGTGCGTAATCCTGCTGGCGCTGCAGGGGTGTGTGCTGCTATGGAATTGTTACTCTACAGTAAGGGCATTATTTTGAGTAGCGTTTATTGTCGAATGGAAATTAATTTATGTGTGGGGTGCAAGTATATAACGACACTTAATAACACACCTGACCAGATATTTACTGAAAAGCCGAACCGCACTTATTTGCTAAAAGGTGTGGGTACCATGAAGCATACGCAAACAAAAACAAAAGTGAACCTTGCGGAAACTATAATTAGAAGATAAAATCAATTAAAATCTCAACTAATATTTTTTAAAATAACGCAAATTTAAACATTTTCAATAGGATTGTGAAAACCAGATATATTTTTAACAACCGTATTAACAGTTAAAAAATATTAAATACAACCTAAACAAATATAGAATGGAAAATGCTTTCTATTCTTTTGTAAAGGTGAACCCTAACAACTGAATGATGGGACAAGCATTCATTTTAACTGATGGCTAATAAAAAACAACTTCAAATCAACTATTCTCACAGTTTTTAATAATAATATATATAAGGTATAAAAAATATTTAAAAAGTGCGGAAGTTATGACGTACACTATAATAAAACTGACAACTAAAAGAAAAAAAGGAACGGGAGTTACTTCTGTAATCGAGCCGTTTACATACGATCCCTAATAAATAATTGCTGAAACAATCAATTTTATTTTTCGTGTGCTATTAATTAGAAGCAACAAGATTTATAAAGAATATTTAACGAGAATAGGAAGATTATATTACTGAACTATGCATTATAGGTGACAAATGTTTTTAATTAGACCTACAAAGTAATCAAATAATTTTAAATAACATGAAAATCGTTGACAGTCATATTTCTTGGAACAAAAGAGTTTATGCGCAGTTTCATATGGTGCCAATGTCGAAATTAACCGCAACTCCAGACAAGAACGCCCCACAAATGGGTGCGATTAATCCTTTATAAGGGTACGCAAATTTGGCCGGCATCTCTCCTATCGCCCTAACAACCGTTGCTATTTTGGCAGGCATGGTTGCTGCTGCCAGTTTTGACTTCAAATATAAAGTTGGTCTCTTAAGATTTTTTCGTAATTGCTGTTCCATTTCAAGCCAGAGTTCTTCACTAATATTAAGGTCTGGGCTACAAGAAGGCCTCAACAAAACTGTGGCCCCTTTTCTCAGAATGCCATTTTTGTGTGGGCGTACGTCAAGAGGCTCCGGCTTGTTAAAAAAAAAGTTTTTCTCTGCATACAGCTTATTGAGGTTCGGAAGAAAAATATTTAAAAGTATTTTCTGATATTTCTCTGCGTTTATAAAGCCTCGATAAACTCAAAGTTGGTGCTTTAGCCTTGAATCTTCTTCCCTTTTGGGAATTTTACGGTGCGTTCAATACAGTCTGCAAGAAAATTTCATTTATTGACTCGAGAACTCGTTTCCGGAAACTCCCACGCAAACACCGAATTTTGATTGGCTACTGAAAGATATTTTTGCCCCATCATCTTCAGTCCATGATAGCTTAAATTTAGCCCACTTATATCTGTTTTTCTTTTGTTTTTTAGTGAAAAATGTTTTTTTTTGACCTTCGTGTAATAAAAAAATACTCTCGCATTGAATATGTACACAATATATACGCATTATCTTAAAAAATTTTAATTCAGGTTTATCTATTGTCTACAACATTTACGAGATAGTTTTAATTCTAACACATAGTTCCACTGTCTGTAATGTCTCGTAAAATAAGTCGCCGCACACTTTTACACAATTTCCTAGAGAACGTTGGCTCTTGATGAAACTAACCTAGGGCGGCCTGGACTTTTACCTTTAACAACATATCCGTTTCCTCGATAGAATCAGTTTAATTTACAATACTTAAATATGCAGCAACTTAACGGACGGTATTGCCTTGGCAATACTCTGATAATTATTTTACGCACATCCTTGCTTTTTGTTGTACCTCGGACTATATTTTTAACTAAATCAGATAGATGGTAATCAACGACAGAATTTAAAAACTATTTAAGTAACGGTTGTTGTCATTGAGTGCAAAGCAATCCGCTTTTTATACAAGCTTGCCCCAATAATTAGTTGTCAACCTTTTTTATATCGAAAAGAGACAAGTTCATCAGAGATAATAACGAACTGCAGAAACATGTTTATTCCGATTTATAACAGTAATATAGATACATTGTTAAACCTGTGAGCATGCGCAACAAGTAAATTCGCTTGAACACTAAAAAATAAGTGATAACAATAGCACTATTGCTTTATTCCAGGGCTACTAGTATGCTTACCCACCAAATAAAAAATATGGAAGGTAAAATTTAATCTTTTTACCCCCCTTTGCACCGTAGCATCAAGGGAGGAAACCGTTATTACAGGTATATTACATTTTAGTCATCTAGCGGGATAACCCAAATAAGTGCTAAGCGAAAAGGCATCTTTGAGCAACGCAGGGAAGGTAGCGCCTGCCTCAGAGCTCAAGCCCTCATGTAGTTTTCGCTAATTTTAAAAGTATTCTTTCGATATTCGGCGAATCGCTTCTACTTTCCAGAGTAACGAAGCAACTGAAACTTAGAGCTTACTCAGGAAGGTACTTAATCACGTTTTAAAGTTTTAGTTTTAAATAGATCTATTTGAGCTGCATTAGCCCGAGATCCTAGTAGTCTATTAACAGTAGAGGGTGATATAACCTGAGTAAGGATGAGCCGAGATCACTCGGCTATCCCACCTCCTTAACCACATTAGATATTTCTAACCACGAGTTGACCAGAAATAACAGGTTGAGGGTTGCACTGTTAATATGGGGTTGAGCGATGACAACCTGGGATCAGACAGCAGGCCTTACTTTGCTAAAGAGTGTAAAATTCTTGGGCGAAAGTTTCAACATCTAGGCCACAGTTAAATGCAATCACAAACAACCAAGCTGCATAATGCTACTACTTATAACCCAACCTACATAGTTGCCCCCTAAATTTCTTTAAAGAATCGTTGACACGTACATCGTTGTGATAACAGCACAATGAAGGATAACTGCGCATGCTTTCAAAGATAAAATGCGAGACTAAAAATATAAGATAAAAATAAGTATATAAGACCAATTCGGTAGGCGCGAGCACATTCACGGGCATCGAGGCGGTTGCTTGAGATCGACTACCTCTTATGCAGTGTTTTTAAAGAGCTCAATTATAATAAATGCCAGATAGTGCTTATAACCGGTGTTGTAAATTATCATAGAGGGCTAATACCCAGTAACACTATTCATTGACATTTGGACTACTGTGTTTGCCCGGCGATAAACCACTGTTCTAAGGCTCTCAAGTTGTTAGCCTTTGCTCCACGGTCGTATGCACCAAAATAGATGTAATATGTGGCGAGTTATAAGGGTAAAATTAAGGCATAGGGTCATAATAAATCGGGGTCAGTAGTCTAAGCTTCCTACAATAGGCAAGACCACATGCAAGTGTCCAAAGTATTTTTAATGCTATAATGCATATATTGTCTAAAAACTGTTTTTTTTTTAGAAGATACATTTAGAAGGGTTTACTCATTATTTTTACATTTGTATGCTCTAGCAAAGCTTGATTAGCCTTAAAATGCATAGCATCAGTGTAAATACTAACATTTTTAAATTAAGGTAGTATTCGTAAAATTAGTATTTATAATCGAGCTATTATTATTATCTTAACAAATCATTAAGCAAGAACGACTCGAGGGAAGTAGGCCGATAATGCAACTGGGTTTTTAAATTCAGTAATATGTATGTACTGTTATAACGTTGAGGCGGCGCTTACCTATGCCTTAGAGGCTTAATTATCAATTTGGGTTTAAGTGGGTTGATCCCGCTAAGTTTTTTCTTGTGATCTTTAGACCTTTCTGGACGACTTTTATACCACTGATTTTTTTTTTTAAATTCTCGATGATTGCGCCTTGTATACTGGGGCTACCTATAAAAGGAATTTTTTTCTTAGAGATAAGCAAGCAGATCTTTTAGCCCCATGGCTCTACCACTGTATGTTTGGGACGAACTTATCCCTGCGGAGCCACACGGCGTTGACTTCCTAATTTCATCGGAGATGGAACACTTTCTATCCCGCGATTAATTGTCCCAGATACGAAAAAATATTATAGCCTACCATTTTAAAATTAAATCTTTGTGCCACACATATTAAAGCCTCTCTAAATATCTCAGAGTACGGTCTATTAAGTGGCAGCATGGCTTTTTTAACAGAACTGTACATTAGAAATTATGTACATTTTTACTTCCAAGTTCCGCAAGCCTTTCAAGGTAATTGCTTCTGCGGCCATTTCCGAGGTAAGTTAGCAGATTATAGGGCGATAATAATTTTTGGCTAGTGGAATTGGAAAGTCATGATAACTAGAAAAGTATCTAGCGTTCAATTTTTTAAAGAAACGCCTTCTTCCTAAACTTAACAATGTGGGGTGTTGTAAGAAAAGTAAAACAAAAGGAAGCACGAGAGGAAACAACGAGAAGCAGGAAAAAGGCATACATTAAGTAATTAGTCAGTTTGGCTGTATTTATAAGCTTTACTAAAGATTTTTTCGTTTACTGTTTACTGTGTTAAGTAAAGATTATGTTCATTTGTTGTTGTTTAAAAGCAGCGTTGTTTATATTTATGAGTATTATTTATTAACGTAAAATTTATTTCCATGTTAGAGGTTTATTTTCGTTAATTTGCAAAAACTTATGTATTCGTTTCTTATTAGTATTCAGTTAGTGGGAGATATTTCATAACTAAGTTAATATATTATTTAGACAATATATTTTTAGGTAATAGTTTAATTGTCACACTAACAATTTATTTCAGTGTGCTAATGGTTAGCGAAATAGAACGTAAAAGTTATGGTGATTAACTTAAAAGAAGAGGGAAAAAAGTGGGCGCTCTGGTAATCTGCTACTAGATTAACCTCTTCTAACAAGGAATATTTGCGTGAATTCGTAGTGAATTATATGAGTTTATAAATGGCTTATTTTTGTTTTGCGAAGTCTTTGTAAATTTCAATAAGAATTTTAGGAAGTTTTATATATTTCAATTTGTCTTAGCATGTTTAGTCGAAAAAAGTAAGCAAATCTCTGCTAACTCTGGTTCTCTTGGTTTATAAATATGTTTTGTCATTAGAGCGGATTTAGTAAATATTCACCTTTTCTGCATACGCCTCTATTAGGAAATTGTGAGTTTCAGTTTTTACGTTAATACGAGAAATTAAAAAATAAGGTTTTTGTATCCTGTTGTTCTGTTGTGTTATTCGAAAAGTGCGGATACTAATAAATAGAGCGCTCCACCTTTAATATTATCTCGGTCATTCCAATACGTTATAGTTTAATATAGTAAAAAGGGATTCTACCTCGGATTTTTTAAAGTTTTCCAGCTACTCTTTAGCTAGACCAGTACTTTATTTCTTTCTCCATTTTTAGTAAATATTGAGGTGCCCTCAAGCGTGGTTAAAACTGGTTTGTGGTCTTAAAAGTTGGACAATGTTGCAAGTGCAATTAAAGCGGAAATGTCAATATAAAGCATATAAGCAAAGTAATACAGTATAATATATGTAAATAAATATAATATTTATAGCAGCTCTGTAGTAAAAGTAAAGGTATGTAGGGCTACACCCAAAACGGCCAGTTGTTTTTGAAAATGTGTAAGTGAGCAAAGTAAAAATTTTTAATATTAGCAAAAAGGCGGAAATAGACTTTATGTTTACTTCATGACTTATAAAGAAAGGAGGAGCGTTTAAACACACTGTCCCGTAGATTTTTTTTAACAATTAATTCCCCTCCCTCAAAGTGGGAGGTCTAAAAGAAGTTTACTATAAAAGGTAATTTTTAAAATTAACTAAAACAAAGTTGATTAGTTGTGACCCTACCAATATTGATTAGTCCCTCAAGTCCGTTTTTACCAGTTTAACCTTACAGTAGTCGCATGGGGTCTCAACAGGTTCGGAAGTTATTTTTTTCCTAAATTTTTAGATTAGATAGAAGTAAAAGTTTAGTGTGACATGTATTCTAATATCTCAATAAACAAGTTTTCAAAATTTTACGATATTTTTTATCTAATATAAAAGTAAAAAATATAAAACTCAAGGGGTCTGAGAGACCTACTGCGACTACCATAGGGTTAAATAGACGGGATTCTTACAATGAAAGTAAGCCCCCACCTTTATAATATTAATTCTTCTTGCGCATTTTAACTGATTCAAATTATTAAGAAAACTAATTAAAGATAAATAATTCAAATATTGTTTTTTAAAAAACCAAATAAACCAAACTATCACAAAAGTTAATGGAAATTAATAAGCGATATTACTATTTTCTTTATTATATATCTATAATTCATTCTTTGTTTCATATAAATTTTTACAATATTAAAATCCGACAGTTTAAGAAGTCCGCCACTCCTAAAATAATTAATGATTACTAAACTTGGACGTACTCAAAAGTAATAATAGAATTTATGAGATAGAAAAACGGAAATAATTATATAAGGGGACGTGCTAGAATTTGATATCTTAATAATGCAAATGATACTTGGACAAAAAAACAATATATGCCAAGACGATGACTAAGTCACGTGGTATTTAAGCTCATGGTGAGTGGAAAGGCATATAAGGTATAGGTCATGTGTTATGTACCATGGGGTATGAAAACGTGATTTATAGGAGTGAACTCTACCTCCTCATAGTAAAGCGGAGAAGCAACCATTCAAGCTATCACTAATTTTGCCGAAGGCATTGACTTATAATTTTAACTAATTTCTTTTTCTTTGGATCAATGTCTTTTAACGATCGACATAGATTAAGGGTAGCTCGTCTATTATCAAAAGTCTTTATACTTTTAATTAAAAACAGGAACATTAATCCTCGAAAATACCTGGTTATCTTCTTTCGAAAACTCTAACCAAGTCTTTTCTTTGATACATAACTACGTTATGTCCCACCCATTTTGTGTTATGTATGTCAAGCTTAATTTTAATTTCAATCGTTTCTTAACTATAGAGGAGAACCAAAACCATGTATAGCCTTCTTCTGCACTTAAGTTAAAACTTGGTGTTACGACATGCTTAATTTATTAAAGTTAAATATTATTAATAGTAGACTGTTTATATTAAGTCGTAGCTTTGAAAAATTATTTCATTAACTCTACTTGTTATAAAAGCATGTTACGGAAAAGCTATATAATTTATTTGAAAAATCAGAATTCATCGGGGTTATCTGTACCTCTAACTGTCAAGTTGGTTTATTACTATAACAAAAAAGGACCGTTTTTTCAAACTTATTTTATATTAACTCGAGTAGCTGAACTAGTAAAAACCTCTTCAAAATTCTATATACCTATTAGGAGCTCCCATCTTCCTTGTAAGAAAGTAAAACATATATATTATCCATTTTAATAAACAAACGTTATTAATAGGCCATCTAAACAACAAGAGGAAGGCCAAAGCAACTTGTTATCATAGTTATTTTGATTATGGGGCGGAGGGTATATGATCGTTAAGTGTCTTTCCGAGTAGATCGGCGATATCTCTCACTTGTAGGTTTCGAAAACTTTTCGAATCTACTGTTATCATTTGAATTTTTACGATTAATCCTATATTTACTTAGAGATGACTCCTTAGGTCTTTCCCTGCTAGTTAAGGTCGCATTTATGATTCTCTCACTACGTTTCGGGCGCTCGGGGCTTCGATATTTGTTTTTAGTGTCTTTAGAATAAAGAGGACTATATTTCCTTGGGCGCCCCGTGGTCGAGCTAAAAATAAACACAAAACCGATTTAAAAAAAGGATGGCAACCGTGAATAGTTCGTGTTACCCTCTGCAGCCGCGGCTTCGCTGGGTCTTGGTATCTGAGTCGGGCGAAGATGAGACTTCCTGTGCATCGGAACTGGTGGAGCTCGAGCTCGCAGTGGAAGCGGAAGACGAAGTGGAAGCTGTGGAATCCGAATCCGAATCCGAGTCGGCACCCGAGCTTGAGTCAGAAGAGCTGGAAGAGCCCGAAGAAGAAGAACTGCTTGTCGAGTCAGAGAGGCTAGACTGCCTCTGTTCCATTATCTTCAAAGGAGCCGCCTTCAGGAATTCACGCAGCCCCTCTCTGTTGGTAATTAAATAAATAATGCAGAAGGAGTGAGTAAGGAAAAGAGATAGAGTACGTCAACCAGCCAAGGCCAATGGATGAGAAAAAAAGATTGGCAAACTTGGTCTTGCGTGGATGGTCTTGGGGAAATATTTCGGCAAAGTACGGCTTTAAAAAAGGATCGTTCAGGCGGTCATTCAGGCAGACGAGGCCCATGTGCTCGGCTAGTTCCTGAAACAGGATCTTTATGAAGATGCGACTGCTCGGTGTGGTTTCTAGTATGAGCAAAGTTCCAAACCAAGAAGTCCAAGGGGGCTACCGGATTATCTTAAAAACTAAGCTAACCTTCCTCATTCAGGTGAATACACTCAAGAACCGTCCATGGTATAGCATCGGAATGGAGAAGGTGAGCACAGAGCTTCGTGACGTTGCGCAGCTTGTTGTTCTCCAAGTGGTGGATCATCAGGTACTAATAGAGAATGGGTACAGCGCTATTAAGGAGCGCGCAGTAAAGAGCAGTAACCTGATACTCAAAGGCCTTCTCGAAGGTCTTCTGGTAAACCTGACTGAGCTCGCACAGGCGCTGGGCCATAGCGCCATAAAACTTAAGGTAGGAGCGCTCCATGCTGCAACACTCGATGATCATGTTGCCAAGTTCCTCCTACACAACAGATAAGGCACCAGCGAAAAAGGCGAAGAGGAAAAGGACCTCCATGCCCGGTTGGATGGTATTTTTTAAAAGCTTGTGTATAACTTCTTCAAAGTCCTTCGAGGACATGATCGTGAGGTATATGGTTCTACGAAGGTGAACAAGATCGCTCTGCGTCATGTCCAGAATCTGCCGATACAATTTGAAACGGGCGACTGGGTGGGGGGCTATGGACAGACCTGCTCCTTATTCTTGTCTTGGTCTTCCTCGGTTACCGAGGACGGAGACTCCTCTCCACTCGTAGTTTCGCCCTCCGATGTCCCTTCTGCGTCAGTAGTGCCCTCATCGCCCAGTATAGCGGCTTTGATTTTGCGGTACTGTTCCTCGTTTTCAAGGTAAGAAGGGTCGTAACTAAATACATCTGCCAATAGAATAAGTTTAAAATTCATTTTACCGGCAACAAGAGAGACCTAAAATATCTTGTGGATCGATGTCCTCATCGTTGAGCGACAACAAATGAGTTATCTGATCCTCTTCTTCAACAAGGTCCAGCCCGTCAGGGATGGTCGGATGGTCCTACGCCCCTCATAAAGTATCATAATTATAATATCTCTAACCAAAAAACAAAATAGCGCACCTTATATTTGTCTTTTCTAATAGCGAACATCGTTTCAATCATGTACTGAACGCGCTTATCAATCTCGCCTTCGTGCAAGATGGCTCGAAGTCTCTCAAAGATTTCTAAGAAAACCGAACTGACCAACTTCTCAAGGTCATGGAAAGGAAGAACGTACCATTCATTATTTTCGAGGACTCCTCAGTTAAAAAGGCGCCGACTTCCTTTAGAAAAGCAATGGCCACCTTCCGGTAAATAAGCACAAATGACACGTTAATGCTACTGACAACCATTGCGGCGCCAGCAAGTCTCTAAAAACCTCGACGCTGTGGTCAGTGGGATTTTGCAACAGAAGAAATAACAACTCGACACCCACGTGCTGGTGCGCCACTCTCTGGTTGATCAGGTGCGCCAAAAACTGGATGCTACACATGCAAACTTGCTTCACAAAGAAAGTCAGACTTAAAGAACTGCAGATGTAAAATAACAAAAAGTAATGCCTTATCATTACGCCGAAACGCGTTTCGAAAATTGCAAATCAACCGCGAGATAATCAAACCGCCGACTTCTGGTAACTTCGTGTTGACAATGGCGACAGTGGCAGCATAGACAGGTGTAAACATGGGCGACTGGCGCTGTGCAATAATAGTGGAGCGGGCAAAAAGACCCCTTCCGCGTATAAGATTTTCCCCAAAGAGCTCGGGAATAATTAATTTAATGTTTGAAACATTAATTTTGTTAATTAAGCCATTAAGACTTTTCTTTAAGGCATCCCAAGTCAGGCGTTGATATTCTTAATAAGTTAAGTCAATAATTATTTAATAATAATGCGTAGCATATGAGTACCTTTACTCGACTTATCCTTGATCTCCGCCTGCATAGCGCGCAGTCTTGCAGGAGGTATGTAAACACCACCAGCTCGACTACCAAGGCTTAGTTGTTCTTGTGTCTACAAAACCAAAAGGTTAGAAGTTTAATTACGTTATAAAAAATTATAAGCAAACAATTTAATGTTATTAAGCCAATAATAAAAAATTACGGGGCGTTCTTTTCTCTCTCCCTTTTGACTAATAATACTTTTGATTCTCTGCTCTTCGAGGTTTGTTTCAAGTCCCTTCCTCTTAAATATATATAAATAAGAAATTATGAAAACAAAATACTTAAAAATAAGGCAGTAATAAACAATATGAAAAACCTCAAGTTTTTGTTTACTGCCTTTTGAAGATTGTGTGCTTAATGAAGAGCTCTTCCTTCTCCTGCTGCTACTTCTACTTTTTGGACGCCTCGAAGTTCTACTTCGGCCTATATTATCATCAGTGGCGTGATGAGAATCTTGACTTCGCTTTTCGCCACATGAAGTATTTTCTATAATGCCCGCATTAGAACTCATTTTTTTCTTAAACTTTTTTGTATCTGCAATTTTATTATTATTCTCATCACTCGCTATTACGTTATCTCCACATTCGGAAAGGCAAGCGTTTATCCCATCTTGATCTGACAGATACTGTGGGGGAGACAATTGGGGTTTAAAGCCTTCATCTCCAACTTTTATACTAACTTGATTTTGGATTAAAGGAGTTTCTTCCTGATTACTAACTTCTTTATAATAAAAGTTCTCAGATTCTTCATTTTTAATATTATTTGAAACCTTTTCTACAATCCTTTCCAAATTAAACTTTGCGTTTGAGCCTCTGCTATTGCTCATGCTTTTACTGCTCAAGCAACTCAGCTAACAGGCCATACCACTAAATATCCTCTTCACGTGGCTAGTGATAAGACAATATAAATCCGCTGGGATCCTTTGAAGCTACTTCGTCTGCGCCTCCGTTTAAAAAAAAATATTAGTATTATTAAGATACCGAAAAGTGGAGCGGCGGGAAAAATAAGGTAGGTACTACATGCGGATGTGAACTGGGTAGAATTAACTTTAAAGCAAGAAAATTAGATATCTTAGAATATTTTAAAAATTATGTGATGACTTAGTCACACTCCAATAAGTTGCTTAATTGTCGGTGAGTCCCCAGTAAATAACACTTTACATAGTTGATACATATTGCTATTGCTTTACCTATTTACTTTTTTTTGCGTCCATCTAGTACTCGTCGGACTTATGAAGAGCTCCTAACATTAGTCATTATTACATGGTGTATATGGTTTTAACTGATGTTAATATAACATGTATAATTTATAGTGTTACTACATAATTCCCAAGTAGGCTCACCATATGATAATAGACCTCTAAGGTACACCGATTTATATTTTTTTAAACAATTATTTTCAATTTACTTTTACTATTTTTTAAAAGGACATATAATAAGGGGTTTATAAAAAATAATATGTGCATATGCATATTATATAAACGTCAACATCAAATAAGAATCCAAAAAAATCAAAATGAATTGAAAACAAAGTTTTTTTAAGCTATACATGGATATAAAAATGAATGAAGCACAGGTTGTATCAGCACAGGAATTAATTGTACAATTTAATAAGGAAAGTCTAAAACAAAAGTACAAAAACCAAAAAACCTGTAGAAACCCCTCAAATCTTTTTTGGTAACACTGATGATTTGTGCAGATGTTCGGTAAAATCGAGCACAGACTGCTTACTTCAGCTAATATTTTAGATTATCTGTCGAAGCCCGTATCCAGTTCCGCTATTTATTTATAGTACTGAATTGATTACTGCTTGATCTACTTTCCCTCTTTTAATTGAGGGTGCGGAGCCACAACCTCTCTGATGGTCCATTGCCTTATAAACAAGGGAACGGACGCGCTTTAAGAAATTACTCATTAGCCCAGAAGACTAATTTATTCCGGCATCTCTTTTCAAATCAAGCTTTCAATCCCTCCTTAACTGGAATCTTGATTTTGTTGTAAAGTTTTTATCGCTTGGAAAAGAAGAGTTCATATATCTTGCCCTCAACGTTCGCCTCTCTTAAGTAGCGATCTGATATGGTTGTTTTTTGCGTCCTTTAAACGAAGTGGACCTACTATAGGCCTCCTCTATAGCTCCTTCCTATTGTACAACAGCCGTGTCTAATGAGGGCTTTCTCAATAGTGTGCGCCATGATACCTCTGCTTTTGTCTAAATGTTCCGAAAATGTTGGCCAACTAGTTACCTTTTTAATCCAGTTCTCGAGGCCGACTAATCTCTTGGCTCTAGTGAAAAGAGTACAAATAGTAACCTTTATTTAATAATATATACATAGATTGAAGACATTTTTAATGCGTTACTCTTCAGGAAACCTATTATTGAGTTTTTATAGCAGTGCAGATCCTATACCGAAAAGACGCCACTATCAGACTCTCCGATTAATAAAATTTTTCTATAATCACGTGAAACAAGAACTACAAAGAAAAGACTGCAGGTTAGAATATGTGTACTCAAAGAGAAAACGGTTTGGCCTATTTACGAAGACCCAGTTTACTCAAAAAATGAGAATAACCCTTGACTTAATTTAAAACAGAACAGGCACACTGTAATATGGCGTTATAAGAAAATTATGCAAAACACATATATATACAAATAAATGTATACACATAATCTAATCTAGCAACAAGTTACACAAAAAGACCATACCAATATAAACCAATATAAACCAATTTACACCACCATAAACACTAAACATAAAGAAAAAACATTATTATCAACATTTTACCTATATATAATTTATCCTTATGTAATAATGTACATATCCGGCAATTACTCTCTAAAATCTTTTCCTATATGATCCAAACAGTTTAACCACCCTTATTTAAAAAAAAAAAAATACAAAAACGAAAATGTGATCTTTTGGCACTGACAATGACGGTCGATTCTCAAAAAGAGTATAAACCGCTTGGTGTATATCCACTCTATAAGGAGGGTTGAGACACAAGCACCCACAAGTGCACGCTCCCAAAGGAATTATATGCTAGCCGTGCCCAAAAGCTAAAAAAATAGAGGAAGATATAAGGCTTGGACTCCCGCCATATGACTCGTTGTGGGGGACAACTGCTCAAAATACCATTGGGAGAGGCGGTCTAACTCTGTTTCTTCATTTAGCTCTTGAAAGGTATGTGTTATTTAATATGGCTATATCTAGCACGCCTATTATGTCCGCTTTCCTCGCCACGGCCTAAGCATCCACTCTCCGCGTTCTTTAACGAAGGATGTAGCCATTCCGATTTGCGACCAGGCTATCCCACACAGTTTGTTTACAGTTTAAAAATCTATAGAGCAACTAGGGAATTAATAACGAGAAAAGTTGACTCTAGGCTCTTTGTGATCTCGAGCATGGTTGATAAAGTCGTCTTAGAATAACTAATATACGCCGCACAGTTGATTTTGGCTGTTGCTCTAATGTCTTTGCATAATTAGAGTAAGTAGCTTTAAGAGTGGCAGAAGTGCTTGGCGTGGTCTCGCTTTATGAGAGACGCATAGAGGATAGTCGAATTATCTGCAGGATTTGTCTGTAATCTCTTTATACGCCCAAATACTTAATCAACCGATAAAATTGTTAACATACAATTTATATAAACTAGCAAAGGCAATTTATTCCTAACACACAACTTTCAGTATCTTTATATAAGATTAAAATAGCCAGTTTAAACTAGCTATAAACTAAAAAGCAAACTTCGCAAAAACGATTATAAAGCTTACTCATAGGTTTAGCTGAACAGTGACCTCCGGCCTCAAGAGAAAGTGAGAGACTAAAAATTCTTTGTAGTTTTTTTAAGAGGCTTAATGTCAAAAGTGATGAAGTTTGTATTTAATAATGTAACATTGAGGTAGTTCACAGGTTACTATTGGGTAGTCCCAAAGTCTAACCGCCGTTTCCGCACTAACAGCCAACACTCAAACAAACAGCTTGTGTAAGCATTTACCATTCTCTTTGGGTTAGTCCTCGCTTGTAACAATTTCTTGTGCCCTTTCAACTTTGCTTAGTGTTTAATTTTTTAGTTCTCTGATGAACCCTCCATGACTCCCTTTTTAAAACTTTTAAATTATGTCTAAAGCATGGGACGATTGGAATGATGCTGCTAGTCAACCAAAAACTTCCTCAAGTGTAGTTTTCTTTATTTCTATCTTGTATATAAAAAAATTAAACAACCCTTTTGTTTATAATAGTCCGTTGAAGATTCATCAAATAGGGATCCACCTACGCCTATTTTTTTAAAGTATTTATATATATCTTTTTTAACGTATCCTTACTGTGTTGTCACATACACCTCTTTTTACCTTAAAAAAAACTTTTAATTTCTAAAATTAATTTGCTTACAGGTATGAAGAAGAAAGTAAACTTACCTCCTCGCTTATTTGCTCAAAATTTACAAGTAACTCAGGTTTTACATAATAGTAGTGTTTATTATAAGTGCTTTTCCAGTATTATTTAAGTTATTTATCTTTGAAGCTATAGTATGATCTGCGTACTTTAGTTTTAAGTAAACGCTTTTGTTAAACTGTAAGTTATGTGCTACAACATTTATATTTGTCTTTTTCACAAACAAAAAAAATTTGCTTTATTAAACACGTAAAATGCTTTACCTTTTTTTTTTTATTTATTGTACAGCACCTTCAATTCGCATTTTAAAGCGTTCAACCGACCATGGAAACAATCGAGATGTTTCTTCTAAAACACTGAATAAAGTTCTTTTAACTGGGTCTTCAAGTGAAGCCTTGAGTATCGAAGAACGCGAAAAGGAATATGAGAAGGCAAAAAAGCGCATATTTGGATCTTCGCATTATAGTGGCGAATTTATTTAATAAACTTTATGCCCTGTCACTGCCGGTTTTTTGGCCCTTATTTTAATTGTATCTCAATACGTAACTTATGTGTTTATAAAAATTAATATTATAATATTTTCATATGGTATTGTCTTCAATTAGTACCCGCATATATACCTATACTTTGCAATCTTTCTCACTTTGTCTTTAATACATTTTATTGTTAGTGATCTTTTGTTTATTAATTAATTACCCAAACTTTAAAGTTCTACAATTTTTTTCAGTAACTACCAGAGTTACCTCTATAGGCTTCGCGCGTTATTTGAAAGTCGTAAATTTAATTGACTAGAGTGGTGAAAGTCACCTGCGGGCCGGGACATCTTACTATATATACAATTTTAGTAACAATGGTTAAGGCAGTAGTACACTGGGTCAACTAGTAATTTGTGTCAAGTTGGTTTTCCATAATTTTTCGTCTTCTTTATTTCATAAAAAGCCAATAAAACATTTTGAATTTTGTTATGCATCTACACAATTTTTTATTTCAAAGTCAACTTATTACCTTTTAAGCTATTTTTTTAACTCTATCATTTTCTAAAATTGAGGGTACTGGCTCTACGTCTTTTCTGCTTTTCTGGTGTTAAAGGGTGATATACTCTGAGGTTAGAGCCGGTTAAAATTACTAACCTACTTCTTTAGTATAAGCGTTCAGTAACACTACTTTTAGTCGGAATATGAAACATCTAATACAAAAATTTTAACAAATTAACCTCCACCAACCAATTATCTTTTAAGGTTTAAAATTTACTCAATCAACATACTAATTGAAACACAATCATAAGGATGTGTTTTGATTGCTTAAACATGGAATTTTGCATTGTTATTTTTTGTTTAATTTTGAAGTATATATAGAAAGATTTCGAGTAGCAAACGCGTAACGGGTTTCTCCTCGTTTGTTGTCTTTGTCCTGTTTTTCTGTTGCCTTCTCGTTAACCTCTAATAATTTCCTGAGCTTATGAATATAATTCTTTACTTTTAAATCTTTATCGCTAAAACTGCTGTTAGTAAGTATTAAAAAGAAATTTAAGTGCACCAAACTTTATTTAAAGTCCTTCTCTGCTTGCTTTAAGCTCTGCATTCATTTTAGTAGCAGTTAAAATATAATAGTTTTGCTTTATTTAGCTATATTTAGGATGTTTTCGATTTTTTTGTAAAAAATAATTGCTTCTCTAAAAGGTTTGTGTTAACTATAGGAAATAAACTTCTATAAGGACACTAATTCAACTAGAAGAAAGAGAAAAAGTGATGTCCATATTTTTAAAAAAAAGTTTTACAAATAGATCACCGTTTTTATACTGAATTGTTTATCAACGCCCACATACTACAGTGGAAAGACATAGCACATAATTATTGCTTAGTTAATTTCCTTTTTAGAGTGAAAAGATAGAAAAGGGATAAGGTCGTATGTCATAACAGACAATAAGCATAAAGTCAGCAAAGAAGGGAACAAATTAAGTTAAACTGCAAGTTAATATATGAAAATATTTCACGTTAATAGTTAATTACGATGGAAACTGTGCAGATTGTTAAAGAAGTAATGCTGATAGTAATAAAAATAATTAATGTCTGTCGTCACAAAATGTATAATGTATGTTTACATACTAAAAAGTAACCTTGCCAAAAACTTTAGCATCTACCTCCTATTAAAGGAAAGAGCCTAAGTTTTTACTGGTAGCCACGAACATATTAACGTAACGTGCGCGTGAACCGCATTAGCATCCGTTATTATCATAGCTTTTTTTAAACAATCGCAGTCTATTAGCAAGAATTGGAAGGGACAGATAATGGGTTTGTATATAAACTTAAAATAAGGAGTTGGCTGCAACTACGGGTTTAATTTTTTTATGTTATACTATGATGATTTCAGCTATATCATAATAATAACACCGAAGTACATAATATAAAAGCACCGCAGAGGAGCAGTCGGAAAAAGCTCTGCGGCATTGCGGCTTTTGTTTCTATTTTATCTTGTATTTTTCAGTATCTTATTTATTAAAAAAACATTCAACTCTTTCAAGTAGCGAACTAACTTTTACAAAGTCTGCTGACAAAATTGCAAGTGCCTTACGTAAGGCCCGAGCCCAGGTCCAATCTTCCTAGATTACACTCCCTCGTAGCATTTAAATTAGTGCATGTGATTGGTTGCCAATTTTTGGTCAATCATTAACAAGGGTATACACCGTTTACACGCTAGAGGAGGAACTTGTGTTTATTTCCTTAACGGCCTGCGTGTCACTTTCTCGCTACGGAGTTCTGTATACCCTCTTATGATGCGTTTTATTCTTTTTAATGATCTTGTCTGTACTTCTATACTTGTTTGTTTCTGTTATTATCTTTTAATTTATAAAGTTGTTTAAGTTCATTTATCTATTGAATATTATTTATATACACAAAGCCTAACCATCTTCATAGAGGTGCCGTTATTACCTTTTAATGCGTTATACCTTACGGCTAAAGATAAGAATTTAGAACCCAAAATAAAGCTATTATCTCCACTTTAAGCCAAGCTCTGCGTAACGTACGGATAGTATTAAATATAAAAGCCAACTTTAAAAACTAAAAATACACGAGCCATTAAAAAGTAGTAACTGTTCCCATGCAAAATATTAAGATCTATCGTGAAAAAGCTTCTTTTTTTTTAGTCTTAAGAAATAGATAAGTGATTATATCATTTAAAGCTTGTAATGCCAGAAAATTTCGGTGGTTTCCTCAACTTTTAAGAATACTAAGACATTTACTTTGCGACAACTTCATAATTTCTGCTAACTTTTGGTTTAAGATTGTTTATTTTTGTATGTATAACGCTTGTCTGTTTTAACAACCCTCATTCAGGCACAACCCCGTTATACCAGGGATTCCTTACTGTGCTTTTTAAATTTCACAAATTTTCAATGTAAAATATATGTTTTAAGTGTAAAATGAAAAATAACAGTATTAATAAAAGGAAAAAAACGTACGATAACGGAAACCTAGACAACTATTATACATAAATACTAGGTATCGGGACCTTTTCTTCTACTGGCTACAGATTCGTAATTGTTGCTGCTAACGCAAGGTTTGAACATCCTACAACATCGCTTGCTTAAAAAAGTGATCAAGAGTTTACTGGTTCGATGACCTAAACAGCATAACAAATATATTAGAAATCTTACCATTAGTGGAAACCAATGCAGTCATAAAGAGTTAATAAAAAATGAAGGTTGTGCCTATGGAAGCAGTCAAAGCTTTATATTTTGCTATAGATTTTTGAACTGAAGCTATTCGTAGCGCAGCATTTATTATTAACAACACACCAGTGAAGCAAGAACATTTTCAAAAAACAAAAATTTCAAGTTTTCCTTTAGAAATCCGATAGTACAAGCGGTAGTTTGCGAAGTCACTCAAAAATAAGCACAAAACAAAAATTTTCTCATTAAAATTATTTGAATGTAGATCAATAAATTAATAGATCATGAAAACAGTTTTAATTGTTAACTGAATAAATTAGAGAAAAGTTAAATAAGGAAATAATTTACCTTTAAAAAGGATCCAATTTAATAATTTATATAATTTGCTAGGAACAAATTGTTCTATGTGTATGGATATAACCTAATCCTTTTGTACTGGCATAAAACCAGACCGAAAACCGAGCAATAAAATAATTTTTCTTGCTTAACATTTATACTAAAATTTTATCTATAATTAGTAGTCCTTTAACTTTTTCTAGTATTCCTTTAGGCTACTAGCTTTTTCTTTAAAATTTTTTTTATATATATTGTTTTGACTGATTTTAAACCCTTTAGACAAAAACAGAAAACTATAAGACGAAGTAGCGAAAAGTAGATTGTATTTTTTTACCCAAGTATATGATCCGCTAGTACATTAATCTCCCATTTTGTACATTAGTTTCACTGACCTCATGCCATTTTTGGCCTTTTAACTGCATCTTAGCAAGTTGATCGCATTTTCGGCCCTTGTGATTGGCTCCTGGAGTTCCTCAAAACAGTTTACTACATGCATTTTTTTATTGATTCTTTTAAAGACCTTTTTACGATCCCCCAGAGAAAGAAAATAAAAAACCGAGCTTTAAAGGCTTTTTTTAAAACCAATTGACTTAACTAAAAACAACTGTAGTAGTAATCAACACGAGACACCCTAAACTATTACGAAAGTTGGTTCCTTCCGATTATAAAATATTATTTGTTAAATAATCTCTATATGCATTTGAACGATCCTTTTATTAACCTCAAATAAACCTTTAATGGGTATATAATGTATTTCTCCTTCCCGAAGACAACAACAAAGCTCTAAAGATTATGCTGAAAATAGATTGAGCAGCCTTATAAATTAATTTTAGTGTACTTTACAATATTGCTTTGACTTTTAAAAGTCTTTACCTACCTATTGTATACAACTAAAATCCCCCAACACCAATCAATATATATATATCCAATCCCAATCTGAACATCTCACAAATAATAATTAAATGAACGAATGATAAAAACAAAAACCGCAACTTCCCCCAAAGTAACAACACATTAGTAAGAACAAACACTGTTCCACAAAATTTTTAAATTCGAAAAGAAAATAAGATGAAGTTACTTTACAAACAAACAACCGTACTAAGAAACCACCAAAAAAATATTCAGGCACCCTTAAGAAAACAGTTTGCGCAGATGAGTCCTTCAGTTCCTCTTATAAAAAAAGTATAATTTCCGATATATTTCCTAAAGATACAGATATATTCTACAGAATACTAGAAGAAGAACAAAAAATCATTTTAATAAAAAAGGGTTTAGAAATAACAGTCTCCAAGCAAAATGACTGAAAACACTCCTAACACTAAGGACGCATAATTACTTACTGCAATGAAGCTACAAATTTGGATAAACCATTACAAATGGTGGTCACCAAAAAAAATCTGGAGTCACTAATGATGCATGATGGCTTTGGAATAATTGACACTAATACTATACATGATAAAAAAGTAATAACGACCTCAAGGAAAAAACAAATTTAAACCATCAACTATTTTGAAGCTAGACTCACAGTTTGCTGATTTCAACTATCACCTAATGTTGGCTTTTAAAAAATGTACCCCTTGTTAGCAATTTGAAGAGTCAAGATAAGTCATACACACTGCTGAAATTACAAAAGCCTTTTCACATAAAAAGCTACAAAAACCGTAATATGAGTACGTACCACTAAGTGCGTACCTATTCTATAATTTACTTTTCATATTGCTTGATCCGGGACCACAAATCGAATACTTCGAGCTCGATTTCGGGAGTGGATGCATTCCATAACTAAATTTTTAGAGGGCACTACGTTCAACCGCCTTTTTTTTCACCACGCTCTCCATAGTATGACTTCTCTCTCTTTTTCGACACAAATTTAGTAACCGTAAAAATGTTTTTCATGAGAACGACGTATAGTTTACATTACTTACAACCAGAAAAAAATTGCTTTTTACAGTGTGCTAGCCGACCTTCGTGGGGAAGATGCTAAAGCACTGACCTTTTGATTCCGTTAGGTTTTCCGCAACTTTAAGTGAAAGCTCACGTCTAAGAAGCAAAAAATCATTTACTTCGGTGTTTCAGTATTATCTTTTTCCAGTTGTTTCACGGTACTATTGACCACGAAAATTTTATTAAGCACGTCGGTCAAGTATGTATAGTTCCTGAATAGAGATGGAACTTGTGAAATATGGGGGCAGCCTATATATTTTCTCCAATAAATTTATATACATCACGCTTCTTACAGCCACTATTTGTGATTGTACTATTATAATAAAGTTGTTTTAAAGTTTAATCACCATTAATTCAGGGGTAATTAAAACTGGACAGAACGCCCTTAGGTCACATTGCTCATAACATCTACATATTATTTATATATTAGATTAAAGCATCCTTTTTTTATAGCATGGTTTTCCGCAGAACAAAGAGTTGCTTTTATAAGAGGTACCGTGGTGAAGTTTAACCTACGACAGCACTGTGTGCCAAGCTGCTTTAAAAATGTATCAGAACCCAAATGCCATTATTCATCAAATATGTAACATAACAGTTTACGAAAATTCCTGTAATGAATACTCGTAATAAAGTAGCAGAAGATTTAAAATTCTAACAATGGGTTAATCAAGAAATATAATGAGTTCCTGATTAGCTTGACGTTAACTCCCACCAATTACCACTGATAACTAAATGATAGCACAGGCTAACTGAAAGGGAAATCCGGTAAACATATATAAGAAAAAGTGAAAGCACCAGCACACTTCTATAGCCCCTTACCTTTTTTCTTTTCTCATACCTTTACAAAAGGTTAAAGGATAATATTTTATAATAAATTTCACATGCCAGCTAAGCTTTTTTTAAATTTTTTTACTTAAGTTGGAAAGCGTCAAATTACTATGTTTAGCAAAAAAGTTTTTTTATTGGCTATTCATTGGCTGGTTTTCTTGTTAATGATTGGGTTAATTACTGATCATATATTCTATGATTGTTTAAGTCTCTCTGTTACTGTTTAGATAGATAAATAATCTAATAGTAAATTTTGTGACGTACTGAAGTTTTGAATTTTTTAATATATGCTGTTATAGCATACTAGAAATATATGCGTTTTGTAAATGTATTTTTTGTTATAATCGAGATAACCTCTACGCGGGGGCTTGTATCCCGTCGATCAGCCAGGGTGCTACTATCAGAAAGCTCGGTTACGACAAAAACTGTAGGAGACGGCTGCCTAAAGAGATTAACGCAAAAGACGAGGATATTAGCGTTTAGTCTCCTTACGATTACCAGACCTTAACAGTGAAGGAAAAGTAAAGTCTAGACAGAGCAGTAAAAAAGCCAAAACTTAATATGAGAGTAGGGAGTACAAGCAAGGGACGAAGGTGACGTGGCAAGGAAGTAATTGTTCCTGATTGTTTTCTTAACAAAATTGATATATTTTAAGGTTCATTTTTCCTATGAAAACGTGGTATTAATCGGTTTGGCAAATTAACAATGCAAGCAATAGCTCTCCACGTTAAACTCCCAGGTTTAGTCTTAAATGAAATGTTATTTTAATACAACACAACACAACTATTATAAAAATTAAATTCTTAAGCTACTAAAAGACAGCGCATACACTTGCGCGATTGTCAGAATATTATTATTACAATAAAAAAGATTGTGGACCGCCGAGTACAACTGTATCGAAAAGGAAAAAGACTAGAAAGGTGACATGCTTGTCAGTCTTAATTGTGTAAACATTTGGAAAAAGTCTTTTCTTTGGAGAAGAATTCCAATATTACTGTTTTATAGATCCTTCAGTGTTCACAGTTTTTAATGTCAAATTAATTAATAGCAATATATCTGTAACTTTTACATTGCTAGACGTTACCTCTAGAAGGCTCATTACTATTAACTGAAAAAACAAACCCCTTCGTATTCGCCCGGAAAACCTTACAGCCCTTCAATGTTATGTAAGTTGAAGTTTGTGCTGAATTCAAGGGACTTTAAATAATTGTGTTATTTAGTAGTTAAAAACATTTTGTGATATTAGTTATTAAAACTTAGAGATCTGTATTTCTTTTACTCTCTTCGTTAGAATTTTAAAATGATTTCAACAAGAATGCTTAAGGTAGCTATCTTTTAGCGAACTTACTATTCTAATATCGAATTTACTTTATTTTATTAAATTGAAAAAAGGTTTTTTGGAGAAGAAAAATACCTTTATTTACTGTTAAACAGCAGCATTTGCGCTATGCTCATCTCTCTGACCAAAATAAATATAAAGGACGGTCTAGTTTTTTAAAGACTTCTACCTTTCTGCACATATATGTTTACTATTTATATACAAACTTTTATATAATTAACTAATTAATAATCATTATATTTACAATTCTTTTTTTTTTTTCATAAATATGGGTTATAGGGTGCTGTTAAAGAAAATTATTTTAGGCTCACTTTTTTTATTAAGCGCCGGATATGGTGCAGGTTGACATTTTTTAACTACGTCTTTTAATAATTTTTATCATACAACTCGGGCTTATATTATGCTTTTTGTAATACAGCTTAAGTTTATTATTTTTATTTTTTTTGTTATTTAAATATAATAATCTGTGTACTTAAAATAGTTACAAGTAAACGTTAGTACTACTTTGGAAGAAAGATTATATAAATTATAAAATAAAACTTTTTTAACTTATAATCCACTGCTAACGTTAAAGCGTATATAGGATTACTTAATAAGCAACAAACTTATCGTTAGATATAATATTTTTCTTAAAGAATGTATAATATTACAGCCCACTAAATTCGACAGTTATGCCACTTTTATAAGGTTTTCTTACCGTTATTGAATTTTAAATTTGTAACAATATACTATATTGAAGCAGAAAAGGTATAATATTGTGTTAGTTTAGTACATATTTTTCAGGTATTCAAATTTCTGTATTTTTTACCGATCTTATAATTATTTGAATAATTTTGGTCTTTCAGTATTTTTGTTTTTCAAAATAGTGCTTACAGATTATTTTAATATTAGTTTCGTAGTGATTGCTTTATAAATTGTGGTGATGAGGGGTAAATCAAAGTTTGAGTTTATAAAAAATTTATGCGTAGAATAGGTGTTTAAAATTTTCTCAATATAATAACGGTTGAGGTTTTCATTATTTATTAGAATTATTATTCTTTTAAAAAAAGTATGGGCGTCAAACCTTACAATTTATAATAAATACTATTGTAAGTATTTTTACTATAGTATATATATTTAAGTTAAATTTAATATTTTTAATTTAGCTGTTATTATATCACAAAACGATCCCAAATTTAAAAAGAAATTTCGCGAGTTGGCTCCTGGCGCTGATTTATTGCTAAGCATGTTTTCTGAAGCACGCGATGGATTTATAGTAAGTTATTAACTTATAAAGTTCATTCAACTAATTCTATAGTTAGAAACAATCTGTATAGGCAACATTTTTACTTTTGCTTACCTAGAAAGGAAAAAATTACTCTTCTGAATTTGAAAAAGATATATCTGACCCTCAAAAAACTGAAATTTATGATGATGAAAGAAAAGTTTTTGGTGGTGGCAATAAAGCTATTGAACCGCCGTATACTCCGCAAGCATGCGAAAGGCCAGGAGAAGACAAGTCTATAAATGATCTAAATGAAGAAAATAAAGATTCTCAAAATGAAGAGAATGACTCGGAGTTTAATAAGAGCGAGCAACTTAAAGAAGATCATGAGGAAAATACTCAATTTGAAAGTAAAACTGATTCCGATTATAATGAAAGCAACCAAAATGACGAACTGGAAATTAACGAAGTCAAGAAAATGGAAGAGTGCAGCTCAGCGGACAGCAGTGAAGGGGAGGTTGGTTCAGGTGGTATCAGTGACTTTATTCAACTTTGTATATTAGATTATATTGGGGCGCTAATAATTATAACCTCTTTTTTAATGAAAATTTTATTGAAACTGTTAAAGAAATGTTATTAAAAATATTTAAATCGTCTTTTTTAAGTTATTGTTTCGTTAACTTCTAAATATATTTTTAGTATGTATAAATATGCTAACATAAATCCATAAATTGACCGTTTAAAAAATTAATAAAAATATTTAATGTTTTCGGTTCTTAACTGAAAATTTTTACATTTATTCGTAAAAAATAAGTATAACAAGTAATTTTTAAAGTCTTCGGTTAATAATTTAAATATTGTCACTGTACTCCAAATTATAATATAATCCACTAATTTAATAATTATTTTTGCCTCTATTATTATTTACTTATTTTTATTATTATTTTTAAGTAATATGTTGTGAGTCTGTCTTTCTTCGAACTTTAAAGAATTACATTTATTGTTTAGGAGTTAAAATTTCAAGTTATTATAATTATCATGTGAAATTTATTTAATTATGATAGTTTTTGCTGGTCGTCAAAAAAATTCTTAATCCTGCATAAAATAATTATATATATTACAATATATTCAATTCATTTTATTATTTTTTTGGAGTAAACATAAAGTGAACAAAAACTTACTATTTTAATTAATTTTTTTTTAATAAAAATTACATAATAAATTAAAACCAAAATACTGTTGTCAAGTAAAATTAATATAATTCTTAGACACTTTTGAGCAAGTAAAAAGCGAAGAATCCCGTAAGCTTAACGGTCTAGCAGAGTGTATTGTCAATTTGCAATTATTTGTTATGAGAATATTATTGCTGTTTTGCTTAGTTACACTAAGTTTTACTAAATTTATACTATTATAATTACTCTTATTAATATTTATTAGATGAAAAGGAACTAGATTTTCTTACAAGACAAACAGAAGTAAGTTTTTACAGTTTATTGCAAACTTTCACTCCTTTACTGGTGTAGTAGACGCTTAATCAAGAACAGGACACGTTATCTTGCTTGTCGAAATCCTACGAACTTCAAACTGCTGAGGTTGTGCGCACTGCAGTAAATAGAGCTGTTGAGAATGCAAGAGTATTTTTAGTTTTTATTAACTTTTCGAGCCGTTAATGATAATATTATAAAGATTAAGAGAATATATAAGTGTATGTTTTCAGAAGTTATAAATTACTAATTAAAGGAAAAATATGAAAATGAACTCGAGAAGATGAAAGCACTTGCTCAAGAAGACAAAGAAAGAGAATTGGCTGTAATGCGCTTGAAATATAATGAAGAGATTGTTTATATACAGAGACATCTAAAAAAACTTTATGAAAAGTATTATAAACAAAAGATAGAGGAAGAAAAAGCTGAAGTTCTACAAGGTACATGCAACAATCGCTCGTCAATATTTTTATTTCATGTTAATGTTAACTTTATACTCATCAGCGGCTGAAGCGCAATGTTCTGCGAATCTTCAAAAAGAGCGTACTGAGCACCTCCATGTCCTAAATGAGCTGCGTTCGGCTTTTGAAGAGTTGGAAGCGTCCCTTCAAAAACATGTGGACGCTACGCGTCGGTATTCAACGTCCTCAGCGATGCACTTCGTTATATACACTATTGGTGGGTCCCATATGAGAACCCTGCTGGTTGTCTCTTCCTTATTAGTTCCCAATGCAGCGGATTCGCTTGAGCATGGGAAGCCCTTTGAGATAACCAAGAGGGCCTTGGCAGAAAAATTTAGATATGCAAGCCCCCTTTTGCAAACGTCTCTATCCTGTTTTCCTGAGGAACTCTTTAGGAATGGTTAATATGTGTATTCACACATTATATATTGCAACATACTGAAAGTTATATTGGGCCTTCTTACTACAAAAGGTTAACAGTTTAGCTAACCTAAGTTAGCCTTAGCAGAAACTTTGACCATATTTTTTAATTATATATATGTTAACATGCGTCTCTGTTGCGACCATAACGTACAGGTGGCGAGTATAATTGGTTACTTTTAGTTTTTTTAAAAATATTAATATAATTCGTCGTAATGAATATTTTCTTTAATAATTTTTGAAGTTTCATACACTATTAAATACAAAGAAGTTTCATCCTTTCCGGAACTTGTTAAACGGTTCTCACAAGTCCAAAAAGAAGTACGAAGAGCATGTTTCCTTCCAGAAGATGGTGGAGGATTCGGCACTTACTTGCTCGCTTCCCTTTTAACGAATTTACCTCTCAACGCTCAGCTACGTACGTGTAAAATATATTATTATTATTATTGTTATTATTATTATTATTATTGTTATTATTATTATTATTATTATTATTATTATTATTATTATTATTATTATTATTATTATTATTATATATTATTAGAGCTATGTCGCTTATTAAAGAGCGATGGTTTATCTCATGCTACTGACACCCACAACATTCTCGAAAAAGCTAAACAACACTTGTGGCACGGCCAATTATACGAGGCCACTGCGGAGGTCAACCAATTGCGAGGATGGCCGAGGTTATACGCTAAAAAATGGCTAAAGGATGCCAGAGTGCACCTTGAAACTAAAGAGGTGCTAACCATCTTAAAAAGCGAAGTTTAGCGTGTTAATAAAGTCTAATCTTATAAAAAAAAACTTTTTTGTGACACCGACTTTCAAGTTCATCGCTACTCTCTTCCTTGCTGTCCAGCGAAAAATAAATAGGTTTCGCGCTATCAGTACCTCGCAAGACTCGATCCTTTTAGATATATACGTACCGAAAAATAATAATTTGAAAAGTAACAATAAAGTTTGTTTAAATTACGTTATCGCTGATGTAGTGACCAGCGCAAAGAGCAAAGCACAAACAACCTGCAAAGCAGACAAACACGTTGATCAGAAGTCCATATTGTAAAGAAAGGTCTCGTGAGCGGCCTCATAAGCAACAATATAATAAGAATTCAACAGAAAATTTTTTGGAGGGCTTACCACTGCGTTGAAGGCTATCCGATATAGCGCCAACTATGTATGAAGACAGAGCTTGGAAGGATAAATAAAAAATCTTATTATTACTATTATAATAATGATTAATATTATGCATACAATCTCCTAGCAAGTGACCAACAACAATTTGCACAGCACTAGCTATAGAGCGTTTTTCGGAACTAACAACACCGAAAGTGGTTGAAACTACGAGCGCCATGGTCAAATAAAGTCCAAAGAGAAGTACTGAGAGGGACAACCAAGCAAGAAGCGCATACTTGGTAGCAATATTCAAACCTTAGTAGAACCCGGAAGGTTTTTAATATAATTTTTAAGAGAAATTAACCTTTTTAAAAAGAAAAAGAACTAAAAGAGCGCAGGGAACAGAAACACCCAGCCCTGTTGCGCAAACAAGTGATTCGGCATTAGCGTATTTGTAACTAATTTTTCGCGAAAAAAAGGCGCCAAAAATGGTCCCCAGCAAACCCTGAGGGCGCCAGATACAATGAAATTAATTGAACACATCAATTTTAAGTATGAAATGCGCAGTAACAAGCACTAATTTTTATTTTGTATAACATAAAACAGATATATACAATAATGACTTACAAAAACGAAAGTGAGAAGCCCAAATATATAAGTCGCTTTTGAAAAAGATAACTCCTTATTAATTTCAGAAAAAAAAAGCGGGCCCCACAAATTAAAAGCACCGGACACAAATGCAACTTTTTTTTAAAAAAAGTCAACTCAAAAAAAGTTTTTTTTGTAAAAACACTATTAAGTAAACGTACCCGTCGAAAAGCCAAGAGTTATATAAACAAAACTTCGAACTGAAAAGCAGTACTTCACGTCAGAAATTAAAGAATGCAAGGAAGCTATTGAGCTAAAAAAATAAATATAAAAATAAAATTAATATAAAAATTAATAACTCCAAAAATTAATCTGTTTAACAAAAAAAATAAGAAGTAATTTTTATTCAATTAAACTTGCTACCTTTTTTTTAAAAATTTACAAATTAAAAACGTACATAAGCCATTACATACGTCAATTTCTTTTTGTAATTTCGATTAATTTTTATTATTCTTCAAACAATATACCTATATATATATATATATATATATATATATATTAACTTTAACCGAAGTTGAGGGCGCTGGCGGGGTTCGCCTTCAGCAATGAAATAATATCCCAAAATAATTAAACCAAAGGAAACAAGTGGAGTAATCTTTGAAAAATGATTTGTATCCAAATAAATAAAATTTCATTAAAGTGAGGATAAAAATCAATTTCCTTCGAAATTAAAGTAAAATTACTCTAAAAGCCCACCTCCAGCTGAATAGGGAGCTAACGAAGCGCCCAAGAGCCAGACCTATAGCCCTTTATAAAGGTAAATGTTACTTTTTTTTACAAGAAATTTGTACAAAAAAATTAATTAAAAAGTTCATATTTAAAAGATTAAAAAAAAATGGAACTTTTAAAAAACTTAGTATGAATAGTAGAGTAGTAGTTTAAAAAATTCAGATTACACAAACAATTATTGTCTACTTTATGCTTAGTTTTGAAATTAATTCAACATATAAAAGCCTTAATCAAAAGGTTTTCTTTTATTTTTAAAAAAGTGCTTTCCCTACGAAAATAAAAACTAAGTTTTAATAGAACAAAATATTAAATAAAAAGATAAAATTTTTAAACGGCTCCCCTCTATAAGAATACAAATAACTAAGTTTAGCCGTAAGGCAATTCCCGAAAAAGTAATATAAATATTTTTAAAGCAGATAATAATTTTTTTAAATTTGATAGTAAAATTGTCATTCAACAAATAAGCACAGCAAAATGGTAAAAGCAATTAAAAAAAATAGTAATAAAAAAGAAAGAACACTGCGACTAGATAATTTAAGTAATATTAATAAATTTTCATTGAAGAAAAGTGCGAACTAGTAGAAACAATCAAGATATATAACAATTAAGAATTTAAAGCTTTTACCAAAAAAGCACTACCCTTTCTTTAGCTAACTTTAAAACATTGGTTTTATATATAAAAAATTAATTAAACTTTAATACATAATTAAATTTTTTCAATTATTAACTACATCTATACGTTTGTTAAGTAAAGAATGGGGGGTTTATATAGGGATAGCAATAATTTTAAATTACTCAATTAATCTTTTAAGCGGAAATAGTTTACAGATGAAAAATTTATACAATTATATGTAAAAATTGATAAATTAATATTACAGTCAGCCACAAAATGCAAATTTTAATTAATATTTAATCCCTAGGCTCCTGTAAAACGCTTTTAAGACTGTTAACAAAAAAATGTTTAAGTTTCAATTATCTATAAATTACTGTGTGTTCTTTATAAATTTAAAAAATATATATTTAGTTAATTTTTTTAGTTAGTTTTACTAAAGAAATAAAAATATTTAATGCGATTTTAAAAACTAGCACTAAACTTAAAAAATTTATAATAATATTTTATTACCCCCCACACGAAATTGGAAGATAAAACCAAGCGAGTATCATAGTTCGTTCGCTTTCAACGTACAAATCCGCTAAGATAGCTGGAGCAACAGTAGTGTAAGCCGATTCGCCAATGCCAAAAAAAATTCTATAAAGTAGTAGTAAAACTTAGTACAGAAAGTTACTTAACTTCAGCTTAAATTTAAAATCACTGAAACCTGGTTAACAGAATTTGCCAGTAAGATTTTGAAAAAGATGAAAGTGCTGTAAATAAAGACCAACAAAAGACACCGAACAAAAGAATCGCTTTTCTACAATAACGATCACCCAGATAACCTAAAAAAGGGGTAAAGTTATAGGCTAAGAAATTAATTTAGTATATAACTTTTCCAACTATACTCAATGATGAGCTAGTAGTAGTCAATAAAGTTTTTGTATTAAAAATTTCTTAGACAATATAGAAAATAAAAGCCTAAAATAAGCCATCTATTGAAGCTAACGCTACTTGAAAATTACTAAAGTGAAAAGATGTAAGGTTTTACTCTTCAATGGGTATAGTTTGATAAAATTGCTTATGAAGTACTTAAAAAAAAATAATACCAAATACAGGAGAACTTATAACATAAGATGTAATAAAAAAAGTTTGAAGAAGACCAATTTGTTGATAATTTAAATCTGTATCGAAGCCGGAAGTATTTTTAAACTGAATACTCCCGACAACGCTACTAACAAGATTTCTAAAATAGAAATAACTCAGAAAAAAAATAATTACAAAATCAGTGTATGCAACCTATCTGTGTAGTTTAATAAATTTATCAACAATAATATAAGGAAGCATTTTCTTGGGGTAACCATCCAAGCACAGCTTCTTAGGCAGATAAGGTATATAAAGTAGTTGTGAAAAAATCTTAAGAAAGCAAGTAGGAAGTATCAAAATTTTTTCTTATTAATTAAAGCAATGTATAATATCAAGATTGTGTAAATAAACAAAATGAAGTAGCAGCCAGACAGGCAAGATGCACAAGAGCTAGGAATCAGTAACACCTTCATAATAGTGTGGTAAGCTAAGTGGTTATTGTGTAATAGCTATGTTAAGTTTTTAGTAACCCTCCTCTAATAAACATGTTTATTTATATATTTTTTTAAAACCTGACTTTGGTTCACTTTAAGTAAATTTTAATATTGTTTTATTTTTATATTTGAAGATTTATAACATTAAAACCGTCAGTTTAATGCACTGCGCTTGTTACTATAAAGCACATACATTTCTAAGGAGGCTTGCAACCGTTGAGGGGGTCCCGCGTGCTATATTCTCTATAATGAAACGCGTTTGCGTCTCCCTACTTATAGTATCGGTTTTGTTTATAACTCCCTTGTCTTCTTAGTTTTGTTAGTAGTTTTTAAGGCTTATACTTGCTTTTATTGTATTAGTTGTTTTAAAATGCGGATAATTTTATGCCCTTAATATACATATTATTTTTTAGTTTTCTGACTCTTTAATTTCAGTAACATCACCTTACAGCTAAACGTAGTAATAACAGCAGAGCGATTAGGTTTATCGACCCGAAGAGGAAAATATATACACATTGAAAGAGTTTTAAAAAAAGAACGTGACAAGATCACGTGTTATAAGCTCAGGATAATAGTATTGGCAGAGTTAAATAGATTAAAAGCAATGCATCACGTTGCAGTATCAAGCGATTGAGTTAACAACACGGTTTTTATTGTTAAACTTTTTGCGTGATACATATTAGGTGTTTTTTAACTCTAATTTTCTGATTGAATAATTTTTATTTGTTAAAACTTTAATCAATATTACTTTTCCGTAAAGCTGATGAGCCATATTTGAAATTGGTTGTGCTCCTTAAAACAGATGGCGCTTTTATTTTAAGCACAGCCTTGCTCGCTATATTACGCGATTTTTTCAAGTTTTTGCAGCCTAATATGGGTTTAAATCAACAAAATTTTCAAAATACGATAATGTACGCTCACATCGTTAAAATTTAAACTAAAGGCTATATGACGTATTTTATAAATAATTAGAAAAATTTTAATTTTTTGGTAAATTAAATTACGACGGATTTTTTTGTTTTTTTAAAACGTAAATCTTCCAGGGTCATCCTAGAAAAGCTATGAATTGTGTAAAGAGCTAAAAATTTAGTAAACTGTTACGCATTTCTTACACCGTACATAGTGGGAGGACGTACTCCTTCCACATACAATTATTTAAAGTTTACTGCATAGATTAAAAAGATTGAGAGATGTTTATTGGCTATAATAATTATATGACCCTTAATTTTGCGCCATATTCTACCTTTAGATCGGCCCATTTAGGTGATATTTACAAGTTGATTTGCGAATTTAACTTATCGAGGTTAACTGGTCGACGATTGGTGAGAATGCGTTATACACATATATCATTTTTAAACCATTGTATTACCTTTTAAATTAATTACTCTGTGGTGGGGCGCTCCTCCCGTGCATATAACTTTTCGGGCTCTCTAGTTTAAAATGCTTTCTACTTTTATTTTTTATTTATGCTCTACTCTACCTTTTAGATTCTTTTTAATTAGCATTTATTCACTTATACTTTTTTGCTTAATAAAGGCTTTAAACGCCTAGGTTATAATACTATAGCTCAAATTAAATTCTTTATGTCCCTGGCCTTATGTTTTTTTTGTAGTTGACTTTTTCAAAGGCAATGTCATTTGTTGTTATGCAAATTTACCAACTTTTAAGATCTTAACTTAGCTTTAATTGAGAGTTAGTTAACTTAAGGAAGGAAACTGCAGTCAAAGTTGAAGGTATAATAAAAAAAAATTTACTCTTCAAGCACATCCTCTTTAACTTGTTAAACTTATGTATTTAGAACTTACAACAGAGAAAGAGGAGGGCTTACAATAAGTGGATAATTTTCATAAATTGGCATCAATACCCCGTTATTATGCAAAAAGGAAGCTACCAATTTTTTTTAATAAGTTTAATCAATTTGTATTATAGGCGGTTAAAGTAATAGTATAAACTTTTTATTTTTACTTTTTTGCTATAAGTAAAAGGTTAGACCCCCGAAAGCTTTGCAAAGTTAATTATTTATAAACTGTGGTAAAAATAAGTGATAATCTAAAGAGCAACTACCTCTACTTTTGGTGTTGGCATCTAATATATTAAAATAAAAAATTTGATAACCTAAGTAGCTTTACGTTTCGTTTAATAATTTTAGATAAATAATAATAATTCAAGCGATTCTGGCAAATTATTTTATAAATAGATTTTTTTATAAGTTATAGAAGATTAATATTTTAAGGACTTCTTGAAGGTTTGTAAAATGCCGAATTACTCGTAATGACGAATTCATACTATCTTAAGGATGCCTATTTCAACTTCAATATGTATTTTTTTACTTCGTAAGTATTCTCATCTTTCGCAATTCTTGAATCGAGTAACAAAACTTGCAACTAAATTCTTGTTTATATAACCTTTTTTTTAAAAAAACTTTATTTTCACTAAACTTTGAAAGGCTGCTATTGCTTTCAACAACTATAAACATAAGATTTATATGTTTTTTGAAAATTCATACTAGACTATAATTAAGCTATAACTTTTTTTATATTTTTAAATTAAATTTAAAAATTTCAGCATTTAAATTACTGTCTTTTGCAAGATCACTACTACTGTAGTTAATCGTTAAAATAATTAACTTTCTATAATAGTATACACGAAGCAAAAAATGGGCGGGAGTATAGCCTCCCAGCTTCATACTTTAGATATTTTTCTATATAAAAAAGATAACTTTATTAACAAACAAATCAGCGTTTTCAGTTTTTTACTAAAAAACGATTAATCTGAGAAGACTTTTTTATAAACATTAATTTTATCGTTAAAAATCTATAAAATTTGTCTGAGGCCCGTAAGTTGATTGGCGGATAAACCCGTAGGAAGTTTCACGTTGATCTTGACTTTCAAACTTCCTTTATTTGCAGTTCCTTTTATGGGCATGCCCAAGCCGGGTAGCGTGAGAACAGTTCCCGGCTGCATAATAGGTCTAATTTGAATATTCTGAGACCGACCTGCAAAATATTAGATGCATAAATTATAGTTAATAAAAAAAATTTTTTTTTAATATTTAGCAGAACAATATTTTTTAATAATTAAATTAAATTTTTATTTACTTTTTAACACTTGAAAAAAATTATATTAATAAAAAAATTCCTAGAAAAAAACTAGAAAACCTTGGTTTTCTAGGTAAGCAATAAAAAAATAATAAAATCAAGAAAGACCTAATAAACAAAAAATTGCTTATCACTAAAAAATTTTATAATAACAGCGGCAATAAATAGTTAATATAAAATATCGATAATAATTTTACAAAATTAATTTTTTTAAAAATATACAAAATAATCTTTTAAGACAATAAAAATGTACTACAAAAAAATATATCAAATATTAAATATTCTAATAAGAGAATTAGTGTGATGCTCGAGAGCTGAAGTGCAGTAAAACAATTATTAAAAAAAATTAAAAATAGTCTTGAAAGGTAGGACAGTAGCTAAATTATAAATAATTTGAACTTTTATAGAATTCTTTTTAATGGAGACTATTTGCAATACGGGACAGTGAAAAACTTAATATGAATTTCAGTGGCAATTTTCTTTATTATTATACTTTTCAAGTGGCATAATAGGATATGAATATATATATATATAATATAAAGATTAAACTTATATAAGAATAAGTATAAGTATATAAAAATTAAAATATTAATAGTTAAAAAGTTATAAAAAATTGTGAAGCTAATATTAATTTTAACAGTTATACATAAAGCTAAAATTTTAATTTTTTTTTAAAATTAAGAAAGTTTTATGTAAAACAATTATAAAGAAAAAGTTAAAAAAAATTCTATTAATATTTTGTTATAAAAAGCCTAGAGCAATATTAATAGTAGCATTATATATATTAAGTTGAAGTTAACACATAAAAAAGGTAATTTAAAATCAAAAAAAAAATTAAGTTTATAATTGAAATAATTATAAAAGACGTAAAGCAAAAATCTAATAAAAAAATAAAAGCAAATTATATAAAAAGTTGATGTAGAAATATAAATTCACACCTTTGAGACAAAATTAAATTCATAAAAATTTTATTAGAAATAATAATTTCGTTGATAAAATAATAAAATATTCTGCTAAAATAATTTTTATAATAAAAAAACAGAAACGTGATTTTATTTAATAAATTAATAAATAAAATAGTAAAAAAAAATGTAAGTATAAACCGTTACAATAATAGAAAACCCTCAAATTATAATTTTAAATACTTGAAAATGTTTAAAAACAAGAAAGCTACAATAAAAATAAAAACCTAATAACTAACAAAATAGAAATATGAAAACATATTATTAAACACTAAAATTAAAAACCTTAAAAAATAAAAAGAATTTACTGTTAGGTATACAATTAGTAAATGAAACTAAATTTATAATATATACATAACAATGCAATATTTAAACAGTATAAACAAGAACGACCACTGTTATATATATAAAAAGTAAATTTTTATAGTTATAAATTTTTTATGAACCAAATAATCTAATTATATGCTAAAAAATACTTATATTAAAAAAGTCTATTTATCCTCTATATTTAACGAGTCTATAAATTTGAATTTTCCATTTGATTATCATAAAATTAAAATTAACAATAGTATTAAAATGTATTAAATTATTTTAAATTATTTTAAGTTTTCTAGTATGATTTAATAAATCTTGTTATAAATGATTTTTTAAGTATCAACTCCGTTTATAATAAATAAATATAATAACCATTTGACTTATGAATCACAAACACTTAATTTAATTATTTCAAAAATTATAGTATTCATTTTTGAATGTTTTTTGGATCATAATATATAATGAACTCTTTATAAGTTTATTTAAATTATACTAAAAAATGAGAGAGAATTTATCAAAAAAATTTTTTTAATTAAAGAACTTAAAATTTCTTTTATAAATACCAGTAATAAGAGAAACGGTGGCGACTCCGCCAAACATTGCAGTTTTCAAAGGAATTGTGACTTCGCACTCCAAATCATCGCCGAGGCGAGTAAATGTTGCATGCGGCTTTTGTTTAATTACAAAAACAAGATTCTGGGCGGGCTTGCCTAAAATTTTATAATAATACGTAATAACAAAAAATTTTTTGGATAAGATTTATCAAAATAATTCCCAACTTTGTATAAAATTCGTAACAGAAAAGAAAATATCATAAAAAGTTTATAAAAATTTCAAAGAAATGGGTTACAAATAATATTAGAATTTTAAAAAATAATATTATAAAATTCTATTTTTCTTTTAAAAAAATAATATTCAATTTATAAAGCTTTATTCCAAAAAATTATAGTTGTAATACAATAAATTGAATGAAATTACAGTAGTAAAAACATAAAATATAATATTTATCCAGTAATAAAAAAAATAACTCAAAATTAAAGTACTTATAATTTCAATTTTTTCTTTAAACAAAAATTATATAATATAATATAAATTAAAATATAAGAACTAAAAACTCGCAAAAAATTTATAAATTTATTAATAAAAATCGTTAGCAAAAAATATGATTAGAAGGGGGTTTTTTTAAAAAAAATTTAATTAAAAAATATAATTAGCAGTGATTTTACTAATTGTAAAAAAAATAATAATTCTCGCCACAAGTAGTTTATAAAAATAGTAAAAGCAATAAAACTGGGATTGTAAGAAAATCATAGTTAAAAACTTTTATTAACAACAAAATGTTTTATAAACAATACAAATAAAAATATTAAGTGTAAAATTTTATAGAACTCTAAATATTTATAATTTTTTAAAAAAATAATTTCATAATTTAAAGTTTATTTACCTTTTAGGTAATTATGAAGTTTAGATTCAGCACATCGTTAAATTTATTGTTAAAAATTTAATAAAATTTAAAAAGATAATATTTAAAATAGTTCAGTTTTTTTAGTACGAAAATTCATAAAGATAATATGGAGTCGTTGGAAAATAAAAAAAAAATTAAAAAAATAAACATAATACTTAATACAACAGATAAAAAATTATTCCATATAAAAATCTTTTTTTTCACATAATTAAAAAAAGCCGAATATTCAGATTATGATATTTATTACTAATTACTTTTTTAAAACTTGTTTTATAAACTTTATATAAAAAAAGTTATAAGATAATTTTTATTAGGTTTATTAATATTTAAAATAACTAATATAATTCATTTCCTTTATAAGTTTTTTGTTACAATCTTAAGTAAAAAATTTATTATAATAAATTTATAAATGAGAATTATTAATTTTAATATTACTTTTAAAGTTTTTATTGAAAGTTTTTATTTTTTATAAACTTGAAATAAAAAAGTTATATACCTATTTTTTATTAGATTTATTAATTTTTGAATAACTAATAAAATTTTCTTACTTATAAGGTTTTTTTAAAAACTAAGTTAAAAAATTTAAGAATAAATCTGTTATTTTTTTATTATTATTTAATATTATTACTTTAACAGTTTATCTTGTAAATTTTCATTATGAACTTTTGTTACAAAAGTTGTAAAACAAATTCGAAATTGGAATTGTGAATATTCAATTACTTTAAATAATTTTTATTAGTTTATTTAAAAGCAGTAACTTGGTTTTATTTTCTAGTTATTTTTATTGCTTTCATAAATAAAATTACTTTGTATCCTTTTAAAACTTTATTAACATAAATTTTGTTACATCCATTAGTCATATGCAGCAACATATTCAACAAAATACTTCTTTTTTAAAATATTTATTATTAAAATAGACTTTTTAGATATCTATAAGTTTTAAGTTTATCTCTTAATTACATATAAAAAGATATTAATATTTTTTGTTTTTATTGCAAACGTAAACATGTATTTACAATTAATATTTACTTTTTAAATACATGGAAATATTTTATTTTTTTTTAAATTATTTATGACATAAATTTTGTTATATCTACTAATTATTATAGATACACAATATAAAATTACTTACTTTTTATAAATTTTTAGTAATAAACATATATTTTTAATTTTTAAATTTTATTTATATTATATATAAACAATATATAAACCGTTAACTTCATCGCCATAACCGGGAAAAGTTAGCTTGGTGCCTTCTTTCCAGCCGGGTTGGACATCAATCTCTACCAGTTTTTGCTCGTTACTTATTTGTCCCGTGGAGGGATTCTGTACTCTTCGAGTTACTTTAAGCTTTTTTTGCATCCGCTGTAAAGATTTTCAAGAGTAACTTCGATGTTCTGTTTATGTTCTTCAGGCTAAAAATATAAATTTAATAGGGTTAATTAATCTAGAACTTAAAAAAGAATTATAAATAATGCATAAAACTAAATATTAAAATTATCTTCTAAGTACTAAATAAATTTATTAGTGCTTTTATTTACTACCTCTACTTGTTTCTTAGAAGGCCGCTGTTGCTTTTGAAAAAAGCTAAAATGATGGCCGCCTCGAGAAGGGCCAAAATCGTTATCAAATTCTATATTAATACCCCCCTGCCCTCCGCCTAAATCTGCAAAAGAAAAGGGATCCCTTCCTAAATAAAAGTATTAAAAAATAATGCATTTTTTGAACTTCCATTTAAAAAAAGTACCGCCAAAAAATTGCTTGAAAATTTCTTCGGGATTGCTAAAGCCGGTAAAGTGAAATTGAGCTCCCCCAGCACCTGCAGGAAAACCTTCACCCATTCCCCCTTTTAATCCCTCTTCTCCAAATTTATCGTATATTTCTTTTTTTTTCGGATCGGATAAAACTTCAAAGGCATTACATATTTCTACGAAAAAGTGGTTTCAAAAATATGATATGCAGCAGTGTAAAGTAAAAAAAAACTTTCACCTTTAAATTTTTCTTCGGCCACGGCTTTATTATCTTGATTTTTATCAGGATGCCATTTTAGAGCTAATTTTCTGTAAGCTTTTTTAATTTCCTCTTGAGAACAGCCCTTTGAAAGTCCAAGGACAGCATAGAAATCCTTTCCCATAGCAAAGTCAGAAAAAATCTACAGAATTATCGAGGACGTACTAGAATGTCTATACCAGCTGGCTGATACCAATACTTCGAATAACACAAGCTAAAGGTAAACAGGTGGTTTATATAATATTAAAATGTTCCCGAAAAAGTCATGAGGTGGCATGAAATTATTTTTTGTGGGGTCTATATACATTATTACTTTGCGTAAGGTTTTTTCAAATATACGCAGTTAGCTTCGTAAGAACTTTTTCATATCTATTTTTCCTTTAGAAAGTATATTTTTCTAGTAAAACTTTATAAATACTTGAAGCTACCTTCTTTGAATTAAAATTTTTTTCCGAACCTAAAATTGTTTCACTAAAGAGATATTATGTGCTTTGTCCCGAGAAAATTGCTTCTTAATAAGCGTTAAGGAAAGAACAAACTTTTATTAGTTTTTTTAGAAGTATTAAAAGTACTACTTAGTAAAAAAGTCTATTAAATTAACTATTTATAATTTTAAAACGGTTATCTATATAAAATTTATAAAAAATTTAAATTTGTACAGCCATACTTGGTTTATATTTAGATTAGGGCATCAGTAAAATTTATTTTTACAAAGGATGTGTTTCATAGAACACTTTAAGAAGGATTAACGTATTTTTGTAAACATATTAATGAAAAATTAGCCTTGTAAAGAGCAGTTTTTATTTGCTGAGATAATACTATGGTTCCGATTTAAGTAATCACCGACTGCCTTAATAGTACTATTTTTTTCGCCTGTTCTGTTCTATTCTAAAAATATGAAAGGAAGAAACAACAACTTTACTTTTTACCCCTTCTATTTTAGTAGAACAAGCAAGTCATTTTTAGAGTGTTAGTTAATTAGTTTTTTTCTACTAAAGTAAACCTTTATGTTTACATGATAGCACCTTACTTCTTTACAGTAAAGTCAATGGATCAATTCCATTTTTAAAGAAACTAGTAGTAATTAGTTGCCCTGGCATGGGTGTCTTTTAGTTCACTGTGCAAGGGTTTAGAAACAAGGTGAAACAACTTCATAACTTAAAAATAGAAGAGATAGAAACTAGTCATCACCTTTAAGATTAGGAATTAATTTTTTTTCTCACTATTATTATAGTTGAAGTCGAGACTGCTACCTCTCGAGGAATCTCCTTAGTGTTGTGCTGTGGAAATCTATTGTTTCTTTCCGAGCATTAACGATTGGTCGATAGATCCGGACAGCGACTTAGACTTTCTGGCATCTTTTGAGGCAATAGCAAAACTTCTTTTACGCTAGGTCTCTAACAGACCTTTTTTATTCTAGTCTAGTAGAACAACTTAAATATCCTTGTTAGTTCTAATTTATTAGAGTTTAATTTTACTCTTTATTTAGAGTATCATTTATAGTTAGTTTTGTTCTACTAAAGTAGAACTCTTTCCAAGGTGAAACAACCAACTAGATTACTTGTTAAAAGGTACACACTAGTGACAAACTCTTCAACTAGGAAGTAATCTTGCGATCTTATCGCTTTGCTCCACGGGGTAGCCAATGGTTCCGCGTTGTAATGGGTGTACTAGTATCTTTTTTAAAGATAGCTTTTATTTCTAACTTTACTTGGGGAGGCCGGATATATATAGTACTAGTATATAATCACTATCCGCCAACCCAGAGATCCGAAAGGCCAAAAGGCGCTCCGGATATGAGTCAACAGCACTGTTACAACCATACATTTAACCAACCAAGTTTCTACAGCTTTATGTATTATTGATTGCACCTATGTTCCCAGGACATGATTGATTTCAGTGTTAGGTTACATCACTCATCATGGAGTCCTGTTTGTCTACGCTTTCGTTCGCAACTATTTGCAACTAGACAGTAGCGTGCTACATAACTTAGCTGATTTCGTTAACGGTTTAACAGCGAATATATTAGCAATCCTCGACGCTTTCGAGTCTGCGTGCATTTTTAATGGAGCGAGGATCGCTTTATGCCCCTAGGTTATTATTATAAAGCTCACGAAAAAGATCTTGCCTATGTATAAATTAAGCAGTTCTACTTTAAGGTAGTTTCCACTGAGTCGCATGGATCATAGAGCCACCTTCTACTTTGACAGGACCCCTCATGGTGGATGTCCTACCTTGTAGCCTTCACTAAATGGCGGGGGACTAATAATGTGCTGGTTAATAACCCTCTACTATCCTTCTCGTCCTTTGACTTTAGCTTAAGTTGGCATCTTTAAAAGGATTGCTTACAAAACTAGATTCGTGATTACTGTAGCTCTCTGTCTACTAGTCAAATAGTAGGGAATGACAAGAAGAGCTTTAAAGTTGCTTGGCGCACGGTTCGAAAGAACTGCTCTTAAAAATGGTTAAACCTTTAGACGCCAAGCCTAAGAAAGGCTCTAGTTTAAATTAAATTGACAGTTCGGACGTCTGCTTCTGATGACAATTTTTTTTGTGATACTGTGATTAATGAGACTTTCCCCGGTGTAAGGCGGTCGTTGGCTATGACGGAGTCTCGCTTTCAGTTGCTGCTTTTAGTGTACTACTGTACTGCCTGTCCCCGCCCCTTCCCTATGGAGGTAACAGAGGTGAGTATAGTTGCTAACGAAAACTGTGGTTATCCTAAGTGTTCGGATTAAGTGGTGCGTAAATAATGCTAAATACTATCAGACTAGCATTAAACTGGTTCTAAAATAGTATTATCCTCTAATATTGTACTAGAATCGCATCTTTTATTACTATGATAGGGTACTACCTTATGAATTATTGCTTTTCACAAATGGTGGCGTTCCAGTGTAATAATAGGAAAGGGTAGTATCTAAATTAATATACATACATATGAGGCCTCATTTAGCAATAGCTTTTAATTTTTGGACTTAAGACCGGAAGCAAAATAACTTTAACTAAATTAAAAACTTGTAGTAGTAATTCCACTGATCTTTAAAACTCAGGATTTGAACTTGGACTTTTCTTAATTTGTAATAAAACTTTTAAATTGTGGGCTTTCATGGTTGCTCTGTGGCTGATATTTTCTTAAGAGAGTATCATTCGAGAATAACAAAACTTTTTTAAATTAACTTATTTGCCAAACACAAAGAGATACCAATTCCTAATTCAGATATTTTCAAATGAAAGTTAAGCCCAGTTTAACATTTTTATAGAAAATATTTTAAAACTTTGTTAAAAGCAGTAGGTTTAATATTAATAGTTATCTCAATAAAGGTTAAAAAAAATTAATAAACAAATTAGATAAATTATTTTAAGTATACTTATTTTTACTAAATAACTTGTGGAATCCAGCGTAATTATTTTTGTATTGGAAATAAGAATCCTTTCTTAAATAAAGAATCCTCTTTCTAAAAAAAAACCAAAAAATCCGTTTTTAAAAGAACTAGAAAAACTATTTTTCTCGGTTAATATACTGTATAATGCCTCGTAAATTACTTAAAATCGTAGTAGTTATCGTAACTATATTATACAATCTTCTGAAGTTTTTTGTAAGTAAAAGGGCTTAATCCGAAATCAATCCACGAAACTAAATAAATTAAAAAAAGATAATTATAGAGGCTGGTCTGAATTACAACAAGAAAGCGTTACACGTAAGGCAATCCAAAGGAATATAACTAATACTTAATGGGAAAAGCGAGTGAACCTAATAAATGTCTTTAATGACTATTATATTTAGAACTATTTTCCTTTAATTAACCGTCAACCTGTTTTAAGCATAGGAATCGTCTTTATTAAAAATTTGAAAAATTTATTTAAACATTCGACAAATGTTTTACGGCATCCTTAAGCAGGGCTTAAAGTATTCACGATGCTTTTGGTATCAAGTGATGACACTGTATGTTGTGATACGGCAATAAATAAAATATAGTGAAAGCAAATCTTTAAAATATTACATTCCCCTTTTGTTACGTTCGTAATTTACTTGACTTTTTTTTTTCTTGCCATTATTAATTTAAAACTGTTTAAACTGATTAGAAATAATTTGTGGGCAAAGTTTATAAAAAATACCCCTAGAACCATTTTCTAAATGTGACAAATGTTAGTATTGTAAAAAAGACAAATTGGGCGAGTTTCATGTTGGGAAACCGCTTGAATATCTTGCTTGCCTTTTTTGTTTGCTCAGCTTTAAAGGAAAACTACGAAATTCGGTAAAGATTTTTAGAACTTTAAGTGACAAAAGTCTAAAATAAGTTGTTTTCTCAGCTTCTTGGAAGACCCTGAAAAACGCTTTTTAGTTTCACCATTATCTTAGCTCTTAGTAAATAAGTTGAGTGCCCATAACAATAAATTTGAAAACTTACAAGGCGTAGAGTGCTACGCTTGCAGGTATAAAAAAGTTGAGTAATGTGGATAGAACTCGTAGTTAAAGTATTACAACTAACTATTGACTACATCTAAACTTAAAATAAAACAAAAGAAGGGTCTCAAAAAACGGATAACGAAGACCGAGACTTAACATAATCTTTTACAATAGTATTTATTTATTATCTGAAATATTAATACTTTAACTCCATTAACTCGTTTAAAAGCTGTATAATATATATATATTACTTGGTAACTTTATAAACTTTGATTAATAAACTTTTTTTAACTATCGGTGGGCTACTACAAAAGTTTTAGAATACTTTCAGTTATTTTCGATTTTGAATTCAATATATAAGTTTACAATCCACAACATTCGCTTTTAAATTTTATTGCAATACAGTCCACCACCGGTATTAATAGTGTACTATAAATTTAGACAGTGAATTTTGCTATACTTAACGCTAGAAAAGATAACCGCTTACAAAAATGATGCGACTTCTAGTTTCTATTCTATAAATAAGTATATAATGGAAAATAGTATAATTATAAGTGCATTTTTTTAATAGCAATAGATAACTAGTTAACTTGCTAAGTAAATGAGTAAAAAGTAGCGACAAGAATAATAAGGGTGTAGTAACCTAGGAAATAAGTTGAAGATAAATTAAAAAAAATTACACATAAGGAATTTCATAAAAAAAAATAAAATTATATCAATTTTTTTAAAGAACTTTAGTTGTATATTAACATAGTAAATACGCAAAACATGAATTAAAGCGTTTTCTATAAAATTTACAAAACATACAGAAGCAATTTTTTGGAGGGAAATAATTCGTGCTGCCAATTTTAGCCAATGAAAGTTTCCTGAATTTTGTGATATAAAAAAACATAACTGAAATTGGGTTTGTCCGTGTTTACGTTTTTAAAAAGGTGACTAAGCTTATTATAACATCTTGTGGTTTTCTTAAAAGCTGGACTTCCTAAAAAAAAAAAGAAAAATTTAATATTATAGTAAAGTATTTTAGTAAAAGTTAAAGAAACATTGTTAAGAATAAAACATTTTAATTTGTGTTCTTTTCAGTTTAAATCTCGTAAGTATAGTGAACGAAAGTTTATGAAAGTTATTTATAGATTCTTGTAGTGGTTTGCTAAAATTTTCCGTACTTTTTTTTAAAGCTATTGTTATTTAATGTCTAAAACTCAATCTCTTAATAGATTCAAATTCAGCAATGAGAATAAGTTTTTATATAATAGTATGCATAGTCGCGATTTTATGTTTTGCCAGCAGTATCCCCGGTGACTTTGTTTACGATGATAACATGACTATTACTGTAAGCTAAAATCCTATTAATATTTTTTATGTATTTAAATAAAATACTTTGATTTTTATAAAATTTATTCTGCTCTCAAAGTTAATTTTTTATCACCTAGAAAAATCGGGACGTTAGTAACTTGACTACGCCTTTGATACACCTTTTCCTTGACGATTTCTGGGGGACACCAGTTTCCCGCTACTCAAGCCACAAATCTTATAGGTTTTTGTTTATTTGTAATCTAACAGAAAATAAGAAAATTTAAAAAAAAACTGAACTGCTAAACGGATCTTTAGGCCGCTCACAATTTTAACTTTTCGCCTGAACTACATTTTAGCTGGAGAGACTCCTCATCTCTACCACATCATTAATATTCTCTGCCACGTTTTTTGCTGCATATTACTGTGCAAGTAAATTAACTATGATTAAATTTGTATTAGTATTATTTTCTTTTCCTTTTTTTTAAGACTTTGTCAGAAATTATTTAGAATTGAACTAGTAACTTTTACAGCTGGACTTTTATTTGCAAGTCACCCCATTCATTGCGATGCTGTTTCTAATATAACTGGTATTTTTTTTTAAAACTCTTCAAAACTTTTCAGCTATTTTTTTTGTATATCCAGGAAGATCAGAGTTACTCTCGTTTATATTTTGTTTTCTCTCTATCATTACTTTCATCAAGTCGATAAATTTAAAGCAAAGAGGTTTTATAGCTTTCAATAATTTTTAATTTAGATTTTTTTTAATTTTTTTTTTTCTAGGAAAAACTAACTGGAACTACTTTTTTTTAAGTTTGTTATGTTCGTGGGCCTCTCTACTTTGCAAGGAGACAGGCTACATTGCCGTCATCTTGTTTGGTGTCTATGATCTTAGTCAATTTCTGCATCGCTTTCTTGTTCGTAAGCAAATGCGGGCCTACTTGCAGCGCTTCTTATTACTTGCAGCGCTTCTTATTAAGACAAGTAAGTTTTGTAATTTTTAATTCAGTATATTAACTTTTTAAAATCTTAATATTTAATTTTTTTACATTTTCTATTCTTTATTATAATTTTATTCTTTTCATTCTCCTACGTATTTCTTTTTAAGTTCTTTTTTTTATTTGTGTCTTATAAATTAAATTAATTTTATTGTGATCTAAAAATAATTATTTAGTATCTTAATCTTTCTAGTCTATTTTTCTAACTCTTTTTCTTATTATTTTGTGTTCTTTTTAATTTTTTATGATTTTTTAATTTTTTTTAACTTCACTTATTTATTATAAATTTTCTTTATTTATAGATTAATAATTATGAAAATTTACTTTATATTTTTACTCTTTTTATTTTATTAATTATTGTTTAAAGCTTTACACGATTTTAATTATTATTATAAAATAGGTTTCAATGTTTTTAATTTAATTTTTTTGACTTTGTTTAAATATTTTATTCGTTATAAATTTTTGTTTATAATTTTTACTAAAATTCTTAAATTTATAAATTAAATCATACTTTGTAGAATTTAATTTTTTCTTGAAGTTGTAAAGCTTCTTTTAAAATTTTTTTTTGTTATGCTTTACACTAAATTTATTATTTTTGGGATTTTTAATATCTTAAGTTTGTTACTCGTTTTTACTAATTACATATTTTAGTTTATTATTTTTATTGTTTTTATATTGATTTCATATTTAAAAAATAATTAAAACTATTTAGATTTTTGGATATAATTAATTTATAATTTATTTTATCAATCTGTTATATTCGGTATTGTAAACATTTCTTTTTTGATTAGAATTTAAATTTATTAATTTGTTTAATTTATAACTAATTAGGGATTTTTGATTAATTATCCTATTTAAAATTTATATTTTTTAAAATATTACATTTGTAAACAATTCTTTTTCAATAATGATTTTATTATATTAATTTATAAACTTTATTAATTATTAAATGTTATTACTTTTGGTAATACTTTTATACCAATTATATTATTTATAAAAAATTGTAATTATTTAATTAATTTTATAAAATTTATAATTTTCATAGATTGTGAATTTAATCCTTTTTTTGGGCACTTTATATTTGCGTTACTGCTGGACTGGCACCGTCGGAGTCAACCACTTAGATGGTGTCTCTGTCGTGTCTAAAGTAAATTTGTACCGCTTTACTTAATTTTGTTTTTTTTTTATTTTTTAATTAAGATTTTTGATTTATTTATTAAATGCATTTTTTTTTTATTTTTATTTCAAATTTACTTCAATTATCATTTGCATTTACTGTAAAATGTATTTTTTAATTTTAATTACAGTTACTAATTATATTATCCTTTACAGATATTACTAAAAGTATGTTTAATTTTAATTTAGATTTTTATACTAATTATTGTTTGCAACTTTTATTAAAAGAATTTTAAAATTTGATTTGATTGTAACTTATAAAGTATTTTTAGATTTTTTTGATTATTAATTTATTAATCGTTAGATTTATTATAAAAAATTTTTATTTTTCAATTTATTTTTTTATGAAATTATATAAAATGAATTTTAAAATTTTATTAGTTTATTAATTTCTAAAAGGTATTTTTAATTTATATATGGATTATATATTTTGGTAATCGTTTGATTTTTATTATAAAAAAATTTTATTTTTCAATTTATTATTTTAGTCAGTAATTATTATAAAAAGACTCTGATTTAAGTTTATTGTTATTATTTTATTTACTGAATAAAATTATTTAGTTAACAGTTCCACTTTTACAGTTCCACTTTATAAAAATGGAAATTATATTTTTAATATAAATTTATAATTCATTTATATAATTACTTTAAAATATTTATTTAATTATTAATTTACTTTTTAAAATTGTTAAAAAAAATTATAAAGTATTTTTCAATTAAACATGTCGAATTATTTATTTTTTCAGAACATTTAGTTATTCAGAAATTTTCGATTTTGTATTAAAAGTTTGTTTTAGCAAACTTTGTTTAAAAGAATTTTTTAAAGTCGTTGTTTCTATTATAAGTTTATTATAGAAAGTAATATTAAAGTAGTTATCCCAAATTTTAATAAAATTTATTTTTAAAACTTTTTTACTCTAATTTAAATCAATCCAACCTCTTTTTTAAAATTTTATATATGATAATATTTTTATTTATTATTATTGTTATTATTACAAAATTTATTAATATAAATAAAATAATTTTTTTTTGTTTTTTAAGCACTAATTTTTATTATAAAATTTAAATTCTATAATAAATTCTATTTATAAATTTCATAATTCCTTTTTTTATAAAACTTTTTCATCAAAAAAAAACTTTTTTAATGGTGTTTCCCCAGGAACCTACCCGATTGGCCAGAATTCTGACTTCCTGCCATCGCCATATGTACCACTATTGGTTGCTTTTGTTTCCCTTTTATCTTGCAGGTGCGTTATTTTGTTGGTTTTACATTATTTTTTATGCGCTATTATCGCCTGCTTTTTCCTCCACGTGGTTTCAGGGGACTATTCTCATTCATCTCTTCCTGTCGTTCGAAGTTTTAACGATCCGAACTTTTTGTTAATTGCCGCATTTTATATTCTTCTTTTTGGGCTTCTCCCGTATTTTGTAACTTTCATAAATATTATATATATATTTTTATATTTTTTCATACTGAAGTTTATAATGATTTAGTGAATAAAACAAATTTATTTATTAAAAAAATTTATATATAAGTTTATTTATTAATGTGAATATTAAAAGGTTTTGAAAAAGTATTCTTCCAAATATTGGCCTTCACTTTTTTTTATTTACGGACTTCTCACGCTTCCATTTCTTCCATTATCGAATCTTCTTTATTATGTGATGTTCGAGGTTTCCTAAATATTATTACTATTTTACATTTATTATATCTACTTATATTTTTTTATGACCATGATTAAAATTTTTGTTATTTTTTACTTTGTCATTATATATATTTCTTTAATATATCTTTTTTTTACTTTTTATTATAGAATTAACTATTATTGTGTTTAATCGTATTTTTATATCGTTAGTGTCTTTTATAATAGAAAAAACTTATTGGTTTGTATTAACCTATCAGCTATCATCGATTAAAATTTACGAATGAACTATTTTTATTGTTTTTATTGGCCTTTGCACATTTTTGGGAGTCCCTTAACCAATGAGCTTTACAGAGCGATGATTAATTCTTAGGGCCTTTCCATCGTTGAAATTTTTACTATTGACCAGATTAATATTCAAGAGCCAATAAAATTTCCCTTTTTTCAAAATTCCATTAGTATTTTCCATCCAATTATTATCGTTAATTGTTTCTAATAAAAAAAACATAATGTTAATGATTATTTTAATATTACTATATATTATTTATATATTCCTTTACTAAACTATTTATGTATTATTTTTATTTGCTCAAAAAAAACTTTTTTTTACTATTATGTTGTCCAGGTCGCTGAGAGAGTCATGTATATTCCTTCAGCCGCTTTTTGTATACTCGTTAGTGCACTCTTATTTCTTCCAGTAGATAACAGAAATTGTATTATATGTTATTATTAATATTTCTATTTTTTATTTTATTTTATTAATAACTTCATCATATATATTAATATTTTGATGTTTATTATTAATGTTTTATATTATTTTAAAAATAAATTTATATAAAATTTTGTTTATTATTGTTGTATTATATTATTTACAAAAACATTTTTATCTATATTATTTTTGTTTATTATTACTGCACTCTATTATTATAGTTATTTTTATTTCACAAATAACTTTTTTATGTTTGTTATTACTGTATTACATCATTATTATAATATTTTTCAACAACTTTATTTATTTTATTTTGTTGTTTACTTTTAAGTATCTCAAAAAATGAACCTTCGCAATTTCCCCCCCGAAACTTTGGAAAAGAAAAAAATTGCAAAAGTAAACTTATAAGTGTTATTATTATTATTATTATTATTATTATTATTATTATTATTATTATTATTACTATTATTAAGAGCGACGAGGGAGGCTTTATTAAGAAATTTTGGCTGCTTGACCACAACCGAACCGTTTTTATTCCTTTCCTTATAGTAGTTATTCTATTCGCTATTCGGTGTCATCTTCGGAACTACGATTGGTTATATATAATAATAAAGATTAGTATATATGAAACCAATTAGAAAAGTTTATAAAAATATTTTTAATAACTTTTTGTAGCTTACAAATAATTTTATTATTATTATTATATACTTTTAAATAAAGGCGAACTAATGATTCTTTTTGGATGACGCTTTTCGATCGATTTCCTAACAACTATAAAGTTTTGGTAAATATTTATTTATTTTTATTTATTTCTACTTATTTATTATTATTATAGCAACTTCATATTCATCAACTTGTTTTGAAGAACGATTCTTCACTAAATCCACGCATTGAAACGTTATATGAAAAACTTTTAGGACTTCACTTTTCAGACGGAGACGCTTACAATTTTGGTTTTTACTGCTATTACTACTATTACTAATACCACTAGTAATAATATAATAATAAAGAAAATAATAATACTAGTAGAAATAATAATAATAAAAAGTTATTTTATATTTACTTTTTAGCTAAAAAAAATATTTATACCCCTTTACGTGTTACCTCAACCAATGCACGTCCTCATTTTTTTTAGTATTGAGTGAACACGTGGTTTTTGCATAACCAGTTATTTCTTTATAGCTCTTCACTTATTTAAAAATGGCAAATACGAGTACGGGAAAGAAGTTCTTCTTCGAAGTTTATCGCAAGGAAGTAAAGGTAAGGAAGTAGATATATTATTATTAAGAATTTGAAATTATATTAAAGTAATTTTACTAATAATAAGACGAAGTAAAAAACAAAATTTAACATTTTTAATTCCATTTTTTTTCTATTTTTATTAATTTATTATATTTTTAAACTATTGAAACTTTCATTTCTAACTTTTGAATACTTTTTATATTAAAAAAACTTTAAACTATTTTTTATAGATTATTTTTAAGTAACGCAAAACTTTTTTACAGACTGGTCTGGTGAACGCTGCGTGCTGCCCGAAATATACAGAGCGCTTCACACTTACTATATGGACTTGAAGGACTTTTCCCAGGCCGAAAAATATTTACTACTAGAAGGTTTACTAGAGAAAACTTTAACACTTTTATCATAATTATTAAGTATTAATTATAATAATATTTTATTATTACTCAAGTTTTGAGATATATTCTTTACTTTTATTATTATTTACTATATATAATATACTTTTTTTAGTTTTTTTATTTTTGTTATACTCGTTATTGAGTAATGGACATTTATTATTTTACTAGTGTTTCTTTCTTTCTTTTTTTACTAATATTTTTATATATTTCATATTTAATTATACTTACTAGTATTTAACCATAATTATTTATATTCCTTTTTATTTTTATTAAGTCTTTTATTTATTGTTATCACATTATTATCAAAACATTTTCATAGACGTTCCATTTATTATTAACATATTTATTTATATCCCTTTATTTTTTATTTACAGGTATTATAAATTATTTATACATTTTTATATTAGTATTTACTAATTTTTTATAACTTATATTATTTTTACTTGTTAAAAGTTTGTATTATAAGATGTTTTTTATTTATATTCTTTCATTATTTACTATTTATTTTTTTGCTGGTTTCACAATCAAACATCAAGTTAATATATAATATATAAACTATAAAACTATTTATTATTAAATTATTATAGAAAAATTTTATTTTTTATTTTATATATACATAATAATGTATATAATATAAATTACAATACTTATAAATATAAGTGTTAATATATTTAAAAGAATTTACATTATAGTAAAAATTAATGTATAATATCATTATCATTTATAAACTTTTAAATTTCTAAACTTTGTCTAACTTTTTATCTGGCGCTTTACGTAGTTTTTAGTTTGTTAAGTATAGTCTTCTATCGAAGTTTATTATATAAAGAATATTAAAATACTGTGTATATTGTTACTTTAACGAAGTGCAAAAAGCTTATATGCATATATTATAGTATCAGCTTATTAAAAAAGTATCAAAATGTGTACTATTTTGCTACTTTTAAGTTAATAAAAAAAAGCAGCGGTTCGACGATGAACAAAAGCGCTACTTTACAAAATTCTAGATTATTACACATTTTGCTGCTTTTAAAGTTTCATAATCTGCAATTTAATAGCAAAAACTTTCTTTATAAGTTCCAAGTTATTATTAGATACCAAATTGTGACTTATTTTGTGTCTGTTGTTACAAACTTAAAAAATTAGTCTTTGTTTTGGCAGCTTGAGGTGTAAAGAGTGCGTTGTTAACCTATTGGTTCCAAAAACTATGGCATATTTAAAAGTTTTGTTATAGAATATTTCATCTTTTTTAAATAATATTAAAGTTTGTATAGTAGTAGATTTTTTTTGGCACAAAAATATACTAATAGCGGTATTTTTATTTATTAATAAAAAAAGTATGGAATAAAAAATATATTTTATTTATTTTAATTCTTTTTTTAATAATAATCTTTTTTGTTATATCAATTTTTTTTACAGAAGTTGGTATAGTAAAACTGTTTTTTCCTCTCCTTTCATATTTTTTTCAGTTAATATTATAATATAATTATTATTATTTATAATTTTATATAATAATTTATATTATTATCTCTATCCATGTAATACTAAATTTGTTTTTTGCTAATATATATTTAATATATATTGTTATATAGTTTTTTATAATATTTTTTTTTCGTTTTTATATATAATATAATGATTATTATTATTAATTTTTTTGTTTTTTTATTAATTTATTCTTGTTATATTATTTCTGGCTAATATGTATTATTTAATAACAGTTATGGTTTTTTATTATTTTTATATTATCTTCTGCTATTATATTATATATACTAGTATTGTAATATTATTATTCTTTATTATTATTTTATTTCTTTGCAAAATAGCAAAGTCGAACTTTTGCCACTTTAAACTCCCGGACTTTTTAGTACAGCAGTGGAAAGTCAGCTCGTTAGTAAAAGAACTTTGTAAACCGTTAAGTAAAGGAGCAAGTTTGTATCTTTTTTATATATACAATTATTGTTATTCTGTTTATTATTTTGTATTTCACATTTTATAATTAATAATATTTTATAAAAAGTTTTTTCTAATATTTTTTATTATAAATAAAACTTTGATATTAGAATTGTTATATATAATGTTGTTATTCTGCTTAATATTTGAAATTTATATTGTTTATATTAAAATATTATATAAAAGTTTTTTTTCTCTAATAACAACTTATTAAAATTATTTTTATAATTATTATCTACTTATTATTTAGCTTTTCATAATTATAAATAATCTTTAAAATAAAGTTTTTTTTATTTTTTCTTTACAACTAACAACTTTTATTAGAATTTTATATTCTTTTTGATATATATTTTATTACTTTTATGAAAACTTCTATACTATTATAATTTTTTAGATGCTTCGCAGTTTGGCGTCAGTTTTGAAGAGATGGTCGCTCTTTTGCAAGGAAACTTGCCGTCTCCTAAAAGATGGAAAAGTTTATCCAAGGGACAATCACTTTACATAAATAATAAGCATCAAGCCTCTTTAGAATGGTTTATTTATTATCATTATTATTATAACGAATCATAGTTTTTGATAAGCTTTTAACTTTATATAAAAAAGCCTATAAAAATATTAATTATTTTAATAAATATATTTTTCAAACTTAATAAATATTATTAAAAAGTAATACTATTACTTAATATTATATTTTATTAAAAGTATTAATAATTTCTCATAAAGTGAAATAAAAAATACTTTTTATGTACTTTTCGCTAAAAAAAGGTTTAAAAAGGTACATTTCTCAACTGAACAAGTTTCCCGCGCATCTTCAGCTTCTTAGTGAAATGGCGCTGATATTGTATTTTTCTCAAAAGTATTTGGACTGTGCATATATTTTTAATGAGGTTTGCTTTATTATTATTATTATTTATTGTTAAATATTATAAAAGATAATTATATATATATCTTATTTTTTTTAATGTGAATTATAAGAGCTTTCATAATATAATTAATATTAGCAAAAGTTCTTTTAAAATTTTATTTTTATTAACGAAAGTACTTTTTATAAGTTTATTATATTTATAAAAACTTCTAATTTTTCTAAAGTAGACTATAATTTTTTTTAAATTATTGACGCAAATAATTTTATATAATCTTAATAATAAATATTTTTTATAAGTAAACTGAAAATTTTTATTAATTATACTTTTATTATTCGTAAGCAAGTTAAGAGGTTTATTATAAATTATAAATATTCTTTACAAGTAAACTGGAAAGTTTTATTATTAATAAATTATTAACGTAAACAATTTTAAAAGTTTATTATAAATAAAAAATATTTTCTTATAATTATGAATAATATCATTCTTATTAAGTATAAAGTATACGATTTTAAAAGTTTATTGTAAATAAAAAATATATAGTTTATAAGTAAACTGAAAAGTTTTATTAATAACAATAAAATTATACTGAATAAATTTTTTTATAAGTTCACTGAAAATATTTAATAATATAAGTCTTGTCTATTATAAAGGAAAAATAATATAAATTTTACGATTAAAGTCTTCAATATTATTAAGGTAAATAACTTTAAAGTTTATTATATTTATAAAAATACATTTTATTAAAGTAAAAAAATTAATTATAATTTTTGAAGGTTTTATAAAGTTTATTTATTAATGATATTAATATTTATAAAAATAGCAAATATTCATAATTTTATAAAAAAAGTTTATTTTTACAATAGATAAAAATATAATTAAAATGTTATATTAACATTTATAAAAACTGAAAACTTTTTTTTTATTTTGTGAAATGTATATTTTTTTATAAGTATAAATAAATTTATTTACTGTATAAAAAAGCTTTTTAAAAAAAAGTTATTCTATTATATATCATGAATTTTTATTTTTACCAAAAAATTTGAAAACTTAAAAAAATGATAATATAAAAATAAAAAAATTATGGATATAAAAATATATTGTTAAGTCAAATGTATAAAGGAACATTAATAATACTAAAAACCAATTCAGATATATAATTGTTTTAAAAAAGTTTTAGTATTATTAGTAGTAAAAATGAAAAATAAAAGTTTGTTTTGTAAAAGAGTTTTTTTATGTTAACTTTTTTATCGTAAATAATGAAATTTATTATTCTCATTGCAAATAATAAATAAAATTTTATTGTATAAAAATATTTTCTTTGAGTAAAAAAAGTTATAATTATTTGTACGATAATGTATTTTTCATAAGAGATATAGAAAGGTGTATTATTAGTCAGATCAAAAAAGTTTATATAGATAAAAATTTTATTTTATTTATAATAAAAACCTTTTTAATACAATGAAAGTTATAGTTTTTTTTATATATAAGTATATTTAATTTAATATAGAAGTTTTTTAAAGTAACTCGTAAATTTTAATTTCTTTATAATAAATAAGGAAAGTTAGTATTACTATAAGTGAAAATAGAAAAGAAAATTTTTCTATATATTAAATACCATCGTAAAGAAAAATTTTATATTAAGATAATAGTTTCTTATTATAAATAATGAATTTTTATTAACGGCAAATAAGAAAAGTATTATGAAATATTTTTTGTATAAAGGCAATAAAGTAATATTTATACTCAAAAGTTTTTTGTTAGTTATAATAAAAATATTAATTATTATTATATATAAGTTTAGGTTTACGCATTATTGTAATTATTTTTTTTATAGAAAGGTTAAACTTTATATTATTGTTATGTATATAATAGAAATATGATTATAAAGAAGAGCATTTCATTATTCAAATGATTTTAAAACTTTACCTATTAAAAAAAAATTAAAGAAATATAAAAATAATTTTTTTTTATACTGAATATAATTTTACCAGTAGTTTTTATATTTATATTATTATAAAAAATACTAACTTTTTTATAAATGAAGATCCCTTTCTATCATTACACTTTTTGCTTTGTTTATAACTAATTTATTTTCCTATTTATTAATAAAGTAACTTCTTTCCTATTGGCTAATTAAATTTTCGATTTCTTTTTTTTTTTTTAAATTTTTATGATTTTTGTAATAATATTACTTTTATTTATCTTTTTTTATAAATTTATATATTTTATTATTTTTTCTTCTTCCTTATTGTATACGTTTTACGCAATTTCATTAAACTAAACAATTTACTTTTTTTTACTTTTTTTTTTTTTGGTTTAAAAAATATTTTTTCTTAACCTTTATAAAACAAAAAATATTATACAAGTTTATAAAACTTTTTACTTTTTAGATGATTTAAATATACTTTAGGTCATTAAAAAAGATTACTTTAAGCCTTTGAATTACCAAGCCATGGCCATGTGTTTGGTGAAAGCGGGATCTTTTTATGAATATGATGCACAAGAAATTCTTAAAATGGGAACTGCAGCTTTAAATTATACTCAACATATGGAGAGTTTGATGGAAAAGAAAAAAAAATATTTAAAAACTGATCAACAATAATTCATATTGATATATTTTTTTGTTTAACTTATATAACTTAAAAGTAAGTTTTTAATAAAAAGTTACAGGAAGTTAGAAGTAAAAAAGAAAAGTATTTAAGAAATGATTTATAAAAATTTACTTTTTAGAACATTTAAATTAACGACACTTTTCTAAGTTAATAGTATAATTTTTTTTATGAAAAGCGTTTAAAAAAATAAAAAGTAACTGAGTCAAATATAGTACTCAATTGTAAGAAAATTGCGACTGCCTTTATAAAGAAGATAAAAAATCTTGCGATCGGGAGACCGGAACGGGTGCTGTCTTAAAAAGTTTGAGAAAAAAAAAACGATTTCCTACTTAAAGATCAATAAGTTTTCGGCGGAAAGGCTTGTGATTAATTATTGAGCCACTTTTTATAAAGTATAGGACACCGCAAGAATTTATTTTTTGCTGATTAAAATTAATAAAGCTCGAGTTTATTGCATAAGTTTTTAAGGTGAGCGAGTTGTTTAGGAAGATAATAATTTGGGGCCTTTTAAGTCTAACAGACTGGTGAGATGGAATACTTCTGCGACCGGAAAAAAGATTTTATCCAGAATCTCAAAAAAATCAAGGTAGACTGTTATAAACGTATATAGCTGGGCCAATTAGGTAGGGATTATCGCACGAAATCCAGGTAATCCATAAGGACTTATATTCAAAAGTTTGATAAAACAGTAAAAAAACTTATATAGCTAAAATAGTTATAGGGCTAGACCTAAAGTTTTAATGGAAGAATAGGGACTAAACGTAATATTTTTACTTTACTTTATCCATCAAAAAACAGTTGCAAAAGGAAGGCCGACCATATTCAGATAACTTAAGCTTATGATCTTTTACATATCTCAACATTAACAAAAGTTGTTTTTTAAAGAAGCAAAGTTCTCTGTATCGGTAAGGTTAACGCACAAATACCCTCAGGATCTTTATTTAAAGCCTATAAACTGAGTGCTGCATATGAATGTTAATGAACTCGATGTATTTCTAAACGCTCCTAAATCTCTTAAATTTTGAACACCTACAAAAATCACTGACCCTTGTTAAGAGGAAAAGTTAGATGCGTTGATTTCCGTAAGGGAATTCATAACAAGCAGACTCTTAAAATACGATTAAAAAACTACAATGTGACGCTTCTACAAAATAGATGATAAGACAACCTTAACAAATACGTTGTTAAACTTCATTAAGATAAAGCGCCGAACTTGTAAATCTCTTTTTTATTGCAGCTAACATCATAAAAATGTGCAATAAATTCATACTCCTAAAAAATTGATAGAAGTGCTTGCCTCATGTTTAAAAAAAGGGTATGCGTGCATATACACACATATAAATCCAGAAGCAATTAAAAAAAAGGAGAAAGGAAAACGGCTGGGACACAATGAGATGAAAGCAAAAACTTTACCAAACCACAAGCCTAACTGTAGTTGGGGCACGTGTTGTACCAGCACAATTATAAAAGGTACAGCTTCTTAATCGGGTAGTTTTATTGCATCTTAAAAGGGGACAGGAAGTTTATTGTGGCATGAATGCGTGCTTAATATTGTGAAAAGATTTTTATTAATTGGAGTTACGCTCGCATCACTTTGCTTGCTTTCCGAATACACAGCACTGATATTAATAACAATATTACCTGTTCTATAGCCCTCTTTGTGCGTGTTTTACTTTATAAAAAAGTTACAGTCATAAATTTATATTTGTGATATTATAAGCTACTAATAAACTTTTTCTTATTACTGTTTGTGTGTTGTGTTAATTATAGTCATATAAAATAGTTAAAGCCGCAACATTAGATCCGTAAAATGATAAGCTACCATTGTGCCTTTCTTAACAATGTATAAGCGAAAAAAAGTTAAATTTATATTAAAAAATTGAAGGCGGAGAGGCGCACTTGTAAGCAAATGATAATAGTGCTAAGTAGTATAGTAAAAAAAGTCGTTTATCTATGAGTCCGGACATCGCTACTTATAATGAACTTTTACTGAATTAAAGTAAAAGAAAAAAAAACATTAGAACTTAGCGCTAGTTATTAAATATGCCCAAAACAAAAAAATTTGAGAAAGATATATTATATTTAGTAAAATTTTATTTTTTTAAAAAAAATAATATCTTTATTTCATAATCCTTGTTACCTTCAATCATAATTGACACAATTGAAAACGAAATAGGATAATCCAAAAAATATTAAGTTTGTCTGTATCTATTATTATTAATATCAGTAAATCAATATTTTTATACGCGTAAATTTTTTAAAAAAATTATTTAAATTTTATAATTATGAAAATTCTTTGGATGAAATCTTGATAACGCTTGATTTAGCCAGCGCATGGTCCCGTTTAATTTCATTTTTTAAAAAAAAGTTTTCAAAGAATCGGATCTTGAAAAAAAAAGTAATGTTATATTAAACTTAATCGTAAGAAAACATCATAGTTGGTATTTATAAGTTTTATAAATTATCAGTGTTAAGAAAAACAAATTAATAATTAAATTAAAAATTCTAATCACTTATCACTGTAAATTATTAGGTTAAGTATACGATATCTTGAAAAATAAAGTATCGCAAAAAAAGTATTAAATTTAGTATATGTAAATTTTATACTTACATTAAGTTATTAATAACTGGATAAAATTTATTTAAAATTAAGCAAAATAAATTCTAAACTTAAATATATACGTAAATTTTAAAAATAAATTTTATTAGACTGTAAAAAGTATTAATTTTAAAAAACAGAATTTTATTACCAATTTAGCAAAGTAATAATCGTCTTTTGAAGTAATTTTCTGAGTGTGTATTGTCAAAAAGTTGCACATATTCCCAAGTACAACATCAGTAAGTATGCGATCTCCAATCTAGAATTCCCACGTACAAAAATTATTTCTACTATATAAAGTTACTTAAGAAGGAACCATAACAATCTCTTCAGAACGAAAACGAAAAAAGCGAAGAAGCAATTCACGACCAGCAGGCTTTTTCGTTCCGTGCTTAACTACTCGAATTCCCAAAGTCTTTTCTAATTTTAAAGCCTATAAAAAAGTATGTTTCACTGTTTTATATATGTTTTAATAAATAAATTAGGTTAAAAATTTTTTTTAAATAGTTTCTTCTTCTAAGTTTTCAAAGCAAAACCTCAAAATAATTATGATCGTCAGAAGAACCTGCACTGTTGGAGATTATAGCAACGTTTTCAGGGCCAAAAATACTAACACAGTCATTAAAAGCATCCTACCGGAAAGTATAAAATAATAAATAAAAAACATTAGTTATGTTAAATTTCGTATAAAAAAAGATAGTTTACTTTTTTAAAAAAAAGGAATTTTTAACTTTTATTACTTTTTATTAAATATAAATATTTATTTTTCTGCTAAAGTTCATACACGAAGGTTTGGGAAAATTTCTAATTCATAAGGTCTCATCAAGCAGTTATCTTTATCAAAAATAACAGCTTTACAACCAATCCTTTTAAGCTCCTGAAAATTAATATTTCTAATATCCTTTACTTTAAAATGAGGCTGTAAAAGATGTCGTTCGAAAAGTATAATTCTCGGAGTTATAACCCATGCAGGAAAGTTAATGCTCTGAACCATCTTTAAATATATAGTATTTTTACTGCTGAGCTGAAATAAAAACAATCAACAATGAATAGGAAGTAAGATAAACAAATTTATTTAACTCAGTGACACTACTTTGCAAATTACATGTATTCTTTTGTACTAAATAAGGCTGGGCTAAAAAGTATATATTGTACAAACCGCAACAAACTTAAAACTTTACACGCATTTAGTACATTCTATAAGTAATTAAAAAGCAATGGAATAATTTTTTTTTCCACTTATAAAAAAATAATGCCACGTGCTTTAATAACCCTCCCCCCACCTCCCCCACCTCCCACCTTAGGGGGGAAACGGAATATACTTAGCACTTTTGTGTTCTGCTTATTTTTGCAGATAACAATGGAAGAATGCGAAGTTGCTCAGGACCATTTTAGAGTTTTTAGTCCATTTATTGTGCATGAGGAAGATAAAAGTTGTATGAGTTTTGAACCTTCTATACTAAACGATACAGATTCTTGGGGCCCTCCCTCAAGTAGCTTACAATTTTCTGACATTCTCTATCAACCTTTTAATAAGGTGTTTTATAAATAAATATTACAATTGAAAACAGCTTTTATGTTAAAACATTATAAACACATTATATCATTTTAGAACGATCGGATAGGAAAAGTAATTGATTGGACAAGCTCTTCTCCCACTGATCGTCGGCCCCTTCGTATTAATTTTTATATATACATATTTAGCCGTTTTTCCTATATAAAGAGTTTAAAACTTTTTTTTTAAAAAAATATAGCTGTCGTTTTTATGATATCTTTTTTTTTTAACTATTACAAAGAACCCTATGGACAATACAGTAGCGGAAACACGGCTTTTACTTACATACATGGAGAGGACGAGTCTTCCTTTTCCTTTGTCAATACGGCAGCTTCTAAAACTATGAAGATTCGAAGGTTTTTTAATTTAAAAAATTTCTTTTTTAAATATAATTTTTCCAAAAAATTGTAAAAAAACACCTTTTTATTGCTAAAAGATTTGTGCCACACAGTCGTAAGCAGCGATCTAATCGCGCTCAACGGCAGCAGCAATCTCTTAAAGTACTTCAAGTTAAAAATCAACAGAAAAGGGTTATAAATAGAAGTTTAAATAACTATATATATTTTATATAAAAAATTATAAAAGTCTTACTTCTTTACTTTTTTTTATTAGCCCTTAAGTTCACTAAAAGAGATAAAACTTTTTAAAGTTGTATAAAATATTATTCCTTTTTTTTTTTACTTTTAAAATTTTATAGAACTGAAGCGTAAATTTTAATTGAGATTTTATTTTTTTTTTGTTTAAGTGAAATATATTGTTAACTATTATTATTAATATTCTAGATTTACATATAAATATATTTATATCTATTATTCAAATATTTAAAAAAAATTCTTTAATAAGTTTTAGGTTTGATAGAAACTTATAAAACATATTAATTAATCCTATTTTTACATAGACTAACTAATTTTATATTATTTTTTAAAAATATTTATCAAAACTTTTTGAATTAAATATTATTATTCGTTATTATTACTATAAAAGATTTTTTTTGTTATTATTATAATTTATTTTTTATAGTTGTTAAAAATTTTTTATAACACTTTGATTTATTTAATAATTTTAATTTATTATTATTAATACTAAAAATTATTAAAATTTATTAGAAACTTATAGAGTTTGTTATAATTTTTAATTTATTATTATATATATGTTTTTCAGTATATGTTATGATTTATATTATAAAATATTTGAAATTTATTAAATCTTATAGATTTTAACAAAATTTTTAATATTTATTAATTAACATTTTGCGTTCTAATATTTTTATATTTATTATTTTGATAATTATATAAAAAAAAATTTATTTTGGTGTATGGTTTAATAAAAACTTAATAAATCTTATTTTTATTATAATAATTTTATATAGGGTTATAATTATTAAAATTATATAAAATAATAGAATTATTTTTACTACTAATATAAATTTTATAAAATAAAATTTTTTAAAAGTTATAGATTTAGTAGAAATTTTATTTTAAATTATTATTTCTATTAAAGTTTTATATAAAAGTTTTTGAAGTTTTAGATTAATAAAAACTTTTAAATTATTTTAAATAGTGAAGTTTTATATATAGATATACTTATTATTATTATTTATATAATTTTAAAAATCTGTTTAATTACAAGTTTTAGATTTACAAACTTCTGAACTGTTGTTATTATTAAAGTATTATATATTATATGAATATATTTATTGTTTAAGTAGTTGTTAAAATAAATTAGTAGAAATTTTATAACTACTATTATTAAATTTAAACTTTTAATTAAAAATATATTTATTTTTACTCATTCATATAATTTAAAAAAAACTTTTTTACTTAAAAGTTTTAGTTGCAAAGGAAATTTACTAAGGACTATTAGCAGTATTACTGAGGATATTTATGTTATTATTTATATTAAATAAAAGTAAGGTTTTTTATTATCGTTTGTGGAGTTTATGTACAAAGTTTCTAGTTTAATAATATTGTTTTAATAAACTCTATAATATTATTTTTATTAAGTTCGATATATATATATATATATATTTACTTTTTATTATCCTTTTAACTTTATTATCATTTATTTTTACTTTGTAGTATTTTTATGATTTTTATAAATTTTTATTTATTATAATTAATTTTAATTTTAATTTCTTTTTTTTTTTAATATTTTATTTCCATATTTACTATATTTATAAATTTTATTTTATTATTATTATCAAGTATATATTTTGATTATGTCTTTTATATATTTTTTAATTTCTTTTATTTATTATTTTTCTTTATAAACTTTATATTACAATAATTATTTAGTTATTATTTATTGTTAATGCACTTTTATGTTTTTACTTATGATTATTTTTTACTACTATAATTATTAGTTTATTATCAAGTTTTTTTATAAATAAATTTATAATTATTATATTTTATTTTCCTTTATGCCTTTATTAACTATTTTTTGTACTTTTTATATATTTATAATAATTTTTTATAATCATTTTTTTAATTTATATTTATTTAATTATCTTTTAGAAAACTTTTTTTATTTTTATTCTATATAAAACTTTATAGAGACTCGGAAATGCTGCAAGGACGGCGCAGAATCGTTATATTGCTTTTCAACAACGTCGAGAGCACAAAGTAAGAATAATATATATAAATAAAGATTTATAAAATATTATTTACTAAGTTCTTTATAATGAAATATTTTATTTATATTTTATTATATTTTTTTGTGAATTACTAGTATTATACTGTAAACTTAAAAGTTTTTAATTATTTATTGTAGAAAAAATAAAAGTTTATAGAAAAATTATATTTATTAGTAGCAATTACACTTTTAAGTTTTTGTTTAAACTAAATTTTTATTTTTTTCTTACTATGAAATATATTATATATAAATAGATAGAAACTCTTTTATTTTTATTTTTACGTATATAAGTAATAATATTTTATACTATTATTTATTGATATATATAAACCTACGTTTCCTTGTAGTATTAAAAAACGTTTATTAATAAACATTTAAAAACTTTTTATTTAAAGATAAAAAGTATTGATTTTATAATCTCAAAAAAAAATAATATTAATAATAAAGTTTTATTTATTTTAATATAAACAGTATAATAAAGTTGAGCAATATAACAATAATATCTATTTTTTATAATAGATAGACTATTTATTAATAATTAATAATTTTAAATATTAGAATTTTGGTTTTATTTTTTTTATTATAAAGTTTTTTTTAATATTATATTAAAATTTAAAAAGTAATGAAAATATACTATTAAAAATCGTTTTAAATATTTATACTACTACTAATAAATCCTGAATAATATTATTATTAACGAAAGTATAAAAGTTTTAATAAATATTATTCTAAAAAAAAAAGTTATAATAATAATTTTTTTCTACTCAAAACAAATTTATTTACCATGAATATATTATTTTTCCAAAAGTTTAAAGTTTCTAAAAATATAATAGTAATTTCCTTATAGCATATTTATAATAAATTTATTGTTATTATTTTACTATTTTTATAATTATAATTTAAAAAAAAATAAACAAGTTTTAAGTATTAACAATCACTATTTTATTTTTTATTTAAATAATTATTTATAGTACATTTTTTATTATAATTTAAAAAAGTTTCAAAGTTTTTATTATTATAATTTTTTTGTGAGTATTTAAGAATATTTAATAATTTATTTAAAGTTTTAAGTTAATATAAATTTATAAAGAAATATAAAAAAGTTTGAAATAAAAATTGTTATAATTATTATTGAATAAAGTTTTTTTACATATATGATATAATATTACCATAAAAATTTAACAGTAATAATAAATATTACAATAAAAAGTTATAAAGAGTATGAAACTTCTATAATAATTATAATAATTTTTTTTATGTGTTAACTCTTTTTAGTTATTTTATATTTATTTTTTTTCAGTATTATTTATTCTATATAAAAGTATATATAGCATTCATAGAATAGTGTAAGTATTGTTTCTTTTTTATGCTTTATTGTATCTTAATAAAGAAATATATTTTATAGAAGATAACTATTTTTAATTTTTAGGGTTCTTAAATTTTATTAGTATTTTTTCTAGATATTTTTTGTTTTGTTTATTATGAGAAGCATATAAAATTTGTTAATATTATAGAAGTTTTATTTATTTTATATTGAGCTTAATAAAAAATATTTGATTAGTATTTTTTAAAGGTTTCTATATTTTATTAGTAGTTTTGTTTATTTTCTTTAAGGAAAATAAAATAGACAATTCTTATTATTATATTTATATTGTTTTTCAGTTTTTGTATTGTGTATTTCAGAAGTTAATATTTTTTTAAAAAACAGTTGTCTAAATTTTATTCGTAGTAATATCTTATTATTTTTTATAAAAAAAAAGAAAATAAAAATATTTATATATTATTAAATATGATTTGTAAGTATTAAAAGTGGTTTGCATAATTTTCGATTTTAAAAATTTGGTCATGAATTTTATTCTAAATAATAATAACAATAATTGTCTTTTTACTAAAATTTTCTTTAAAAATTATTATTTTTTTATTATTTAGAAAATTTAATTCTAAAATTTTTAAGTAATTTTTTAATTAAATACATAGTACATATATATACAAATAATAAGTAAAAGTTTTACCAAATTTAGTTTTTTTGTAAATTTATTTGAAGCACCGTTAATTGGCTCAGATTAGCCGACCAGGAGCTAAATGGATACTTGAATTTATTAAGCGCCCTTAAACTGGCTTATCGCATTTTTGTTTTGATTTGAGCGAAATTTAATTTTAAAATAGTCCTATTGGCTTGTTCTTTTTGCGTGTAAAATACTTTTTAGTGTTCATATAGAATTTTTAAGCTTTTCGGAATTTTTTATTTATAAAATTATTATACTTTTATTTAATAATAAATAATATATAGGGAAGCAAGTTTTTATAAACTTTTTACTTATAAAAATTTTATTGTATTTTTTAAAATAAATAACTGTACTAAATTATTTTTCCTTTTTTTAATGTTATATTTTATTTAACGTAATTAATAACATGAATATATATTTTATTGTGTTTATTATTATTTATAATTCTAGTAAACCAATAAAAAATATAATGAATATTTTTTTAGAGTCGAGAACCTTCTGTAGCTATTCCCGAAAGCTGGGAACTTTTAGAAGTTTTGGAGTTTTCACGATTTCAAGAACTTTCTTATCTTCCTGGAGATCCAGTCGATTTGTATAATTTTTGTTTATTTTTTAGTGAATTAATATGATTTAATTTTTATGTTTATTTATTCTTTAAGGTTTATCTTAATAGAAATTGGTAGTAAATAAAAATATTGATACTTTTATTATTACTAATATAATAATAAAAAGAATTATAGACTATTTTTGTTGTTTATTTATTTTTTTATATATTTTATTATATAGCTTTCGACTTGTTTTTTTTATTTATAAATTTTTTATAAAATAAACTTTTTTTATATATATTATTTGTTTATTATTCTTATAATAAGAATACAAGCTTTAAAATTTCTTTCATTACTAGTTTATATATTAGTATTATTCATAATTGAAAAAAATATATTTTATTCAAAAAAAAATTAATTATAAGATAAACTTTTCATGTATATCATTTTTTTATTCTTATTATAATATTTATTATTATATAGTTTTTTTAATTAAATAATTCTAAAGTTTGACAGTAATAGAAAAAAGTATATGAAAACGTAAAAGTTTATTTTTAATAATAAAAAGTATATTTTTTAAATTTATAAAAATAATAATTTTTTAATAATAAGATAAAAAAGTAAATTTTTAAATTTTATAAGTCAATAATAAAAAGTTTAATTGAAGTTTACTAACAACAATTGAATTATAATAATAAAAAGTTATTAAAAAAATTATTTAAAATATAAATTTTATAATGCAATAATAACAAGTTAATAATAAAAAGAAGCCAAACAGTATTTAATAATAATATATATCTAAAATTATAAATTTCTAAAATAATAATAAAATTTTTTTTTAAATTCAATAACACAATAATAAAGAGTTTTTACAATAGTGAAATTTTAAAAATAGTAATAAAAATAGTATAATTATTAAAATTTTCTACGCGATAATAAAAAGTTGATATAAATAATAACAAAAAAAAATAATATAAAGTTCATAAAAATGAAAATTATATAAGATACTAATAACAAGTGTATATTATAAATTTTATTGCGCAGTAGTAAAAACTTAGCAAGAAACAAAATTTTTATGAGTAATAAAAGTTTCTTAACAACAATAACAAAAAACTAATAAGAAAAACTAAATAATTTTATTTTTTCATAAAATAGTAATAAAAAAGTATATAGAATAAATATTATTACGCAAAGCTTCTAAGGATAATAAAAGTCTGATATTAATAGCCATCTAATAATAATAGAAGTTATAAAAATTAAGAAATTTATAGAATAGTAATAAAAAATTTGTATTTTATAAACATTATGACTCAATAATAAGAAGTTTTAAAACATAATAAATGTTTTTTGACAAAATATTAATCATAATTAGTTTATAATAAATAAGAATTTATAAAATAATAGTAAAAAAGAATATTATGTTAATTTTTTCTGTAACGTAATATTGAAAAGTTTATAAAAATAATAAATTTTCTTAACAGAATAACAAAACGTGTATTTTATAACTATTTTTAATAAAAAATAATAAAAAGTTTATTAATAAATAAAAGTTTTCTTACAATTCTATATTATAAAAAATATCCTTTTAATTTTTTTAATACAATAGTAAAAAGTTTTAGAAAGTTTTATAAATATAATAAAAAGTATACATTCTAACTTTTTTATGATAAATATTAATCAATAGGATATAGGAATAAGTCTCTTTCGCTAACAGTTATAATAAAGTATATTTTATAATAATTTATAATAAAAAGTTTTTTGTAAGTAAAAATTTCTTTACTATAGAAGTAATTAATGTATAATTAAAAATATAAAGATTATAGATAATATTATGAAATCTATTTATAAACTTTTTTTTGTTTTCATTTTTATGTAAAGTTTATAATAAATAGAAGTATTTTTTCGATAACAACAAAAAGAATACAAGTGAAAAGTAAAAGTTTTTAAATAATAAATACTTTTTATTATTATTTATGTTATAAATAAATAAAATTTTCTTTATAATAATAAAAAGTATTTATACAAAATAGTTTTATAATGTTAATTATAAAAAAGTATATATTTACTTTTATTATTATCTTTTTAATGGAAAGTTTAATAAAAATTTATTTACTAAAATAACAGGAAATTTATTAAAAAATAAAATTATTAATAATTAAAGAATAACTGGTAGATAAAGCATTTCTTATAATAAAAATATAAAGTATACTTTAACTTTTTTAAGTTAAATCTCATATTAAGAAGTTTATATATAAGAATTATAACTTTTTGTATGTATTATTATTAATAATATGTTTTGTATTTGAACTATTAAAGAAAAATTTTTAATTTTTTTAAAATACTAATAAAAAGTAACAAAAAGTATATATTTTTTAAACTTAAATTATTATTAAAAAGTTTTATGTATAACAATAAAAGTTTTTAAAGGGATTGACAAAGAAATTTTTTTTTAGTTTATACAATAAAAACAGTATTTTTTTAATTTTTAAATAATATTTCTGAAGAGTTTATAAATATTAATAATAAGAATTATTATTTTCAATAATACTTATCAAAAAGTTCATAAATACAAATTATAAAGAAAACATGTACAACAATGAAAGTTCTTTAACTACTGATAATAGCAATAATAACTGAAGTCCACTAATTATGTCATTTGTTTCACTTCATTATCTCTGTTGCATATTTTATTATTATTCTTATTAGTATTATTATTATTAGTAGTATTATGATTATTATTATTATTACTAGTATTATTATTATTAGTAGTATTATGATTATTATTATTATTACTAGTATTATTATTAATACCGCTACTGTTATTATCATCTATAACTTTTCTAATATTTTTTCAATATTACTTTTTTTATTATATATATAATAAACTATTAAAAGTTGTTAAGTAGTTTTTTTTAATAATATAAACAGTATTTTTATTTTTTATATAAATGCTATAAAAAGTAACTTTATCAAGGTTATAAATGTAATAATAAAGAAAAATCTATAATATTAAAATATATTTTTTTAACTGTTTTTATATAACACTTATAAAAGTTTTTATATAACAAAAACAAAAAATTTTAAAAAAAGGTTTTTTAACAATAATAATAAAACGAAAAATAAGAAAAAGTTATTTCTATTTACTTAATAATACTTTTATTTATAATTTATGAACACAATAATAATAATAAAATATATAATAAAAGTTTTTTAACAACAATAATAAATATAATTCTTTTAGGGACTTCTACGGCCTTCTTGAGACGTATGACAAGTCCTACGAAAATGTGCGCACCAAAAATACTAAACCACTTCAGCGAACCGACCGCTATTATAGCACGTCTACGACTACAGAAGATCCAATCATTGCAAAGGTTTATCGTAGGCAACATTTTTTATTGGCCTTGAGTTTTCTTTACTGTTTATTGGTTTGTTTTTTTAAAAAGTTTTCTAATTGGTTTAAAAGTTTTATTGGAGACTTAGAATTTATTTTATTTGCCTTATTATAATTTTCTATACTTTGTCGTTTTTTAATGATTTATATGTAGAAAAGCTTTTTAAACTTTTTTTTGGTTTATATATAACTTTTAGAAAGTTTACTTTTTTTTTTTATTATAATAAAGTTTTTATTAATAACCATTTAAACGTTACTGAAGAAATTTAAAAATATTATTGTGACTATTAAATTACTTAAAGTATTAAAACTGCCGTAAATATTTGTTTTTCATTGGCTAAAAAAATTACTTTTTTTCATTTTTTTCAATAAATTTTTTTTATTGGACGCTTTAATATTTTATTATTTTTATAAGAATATGAAAAAGTTTTTCTACAATTTTTGCAGCTTGCACGTGCGAATGAGGGGAACGTGTTTGCCACGGATTTGATTTTGTCGACCCTCATGACTTGCACGCGGTCAGTGTACTCGTGGGATATTATTGCTGAACGTGTAGAGAATGAATTGTTTTTGGATAAACGTGAAAAATCTTCTCTTGGTAATACTAAAAATATTGAGGAGAAGAAGAAGAAAAAAAATAAAAAATTATAATAATTTATATATAAGTAATTTTAAATATTAAAAGGATTAAAACTTATATAATAATAACTTTATTAAAAATAAATACATAACAAACTTTGTATTACTAATAACAGTTATACGCTTTAAAAAAGTATTTTACTTGCTAAAGTTTTTTATGACAATAAAAATAAATATTTAAAAGTATAATGAATTTAATACTCAAAGTAAATATTTTTTAACAAATTTTTCTTTAAATAATAAAAAATAGCGTTACCGCTGGGATATTTTTCTATAAACTTGTAAAGTTTTTTACAATAATAAGAATAATAAATAATATTAAACCATAAGTAGTTTAGTTTTTTTAATAAAAACCACCAGACTACCTTGAAGTTTCCGAAACTGCGCCCGATCCGCCGAGCGAAGAAAGCGAGCTGAAGATCAATACTCCAAAGTCATTGGCTACGGAAGCAACCTTTGTTAACCACCATTTTGCCCAGCAAATTTTATTAAAGGCATTATTATTATTATTATTATTATTATTATTATTATTATTATTATTATTATTATTATTATTATTATTATTATTATTATTATTATTATTATTATTATTATTATTATTATTATTATTATTATTATAATTTAACAGGAAAAAGACGTAGTAAAGTTTAAACCGAATCCTTTTATAGAAGAAGGAGAGAAGGCTGGCTCGGTTTGCTATCGTTATAGAAAGTGGGACATTGGCGGGGGAAACACCCTGGTGGCACGCACTGAAATTGAGGGCCTTATGAAGTCCTCAACAGGTTTTATTATTATGATGATTATTATCATTAATATTATTATTGTTATTATTATTAGGAGAGCCCCTTTACCTTACAATTAAGGCCCTTAATGAATACAAGTCGAGCGCTGAGTGGCGACAGCAATTGGATAGCCAGCCGGGGGCAGTACTATCCGCCGAGCTGAAGAAGAACACGTGCAAGTTGGCGCGCTGGGCCATGGGCTCTCTTTTGGCGGGCACCCAACTTATAAAGCTTGGGTTCTTCTATTTCATTATTATTGTTATGATTATTATGTAGTGTAGGACTTCCTGCTCAAAATTTTCCCTGGAAAATAATTATATTGTTTATTTTGTATCTTTTTATATAAATATTTACAATTTTAGTTTATTATAATAAAATGCACGTATAATTTGGTTGGCGCATTTTACTTTGAAATGAAATTAAAATTTTAATTTTTTTTTAATTTTTTTTATAAAGAAAATTATTCTTTCCTGCTTTCTATAAAATATTATAAACTCTACATTAAAATATTTTTTTCACAGCTACGTAAGTCGCGTGCAATGCCGCGATAACTCGAAGCACGTGATTATGGGCCTTCAAACTTATAAGCCTTCTGAGTTTGCTGACCAAATCCACTTCCACATACCCAATTGTTGGGGTATTCTGCGCAGTTTAGTAGATCTTTTGCTTTCCTATTCGGAAGGAAGATACTTGATTCTGAAGGATCCCAACGCCGTACGTTTGAAATTTGTTATTTTCAGTTCAAAACTATAATCTTTTTTTTTTCTTGTATTTTTATTTTATGTATATTTGTTTTATTATGAATATAATTTAACTTATATAATTGAAATTTCTTAAGCAAATTTTGTAACTTTTTTAAAGAAAGTTCGAATTTATAATCTTTTTAGTTCCCTGTATTTTTATTTTTTTATTATTGTATAAATTTTAGTTCCAATATGAATATAGTTTTATTCTTCCTTTTGAAATTTTTTAAGATTTTTGAAGAAGTTCGAAATTATAACCTTTTCTGTTTCTTGTATATTAATTTTTTTCATTATATATATTTTTTAATTTTATTATAAATATATATAATATAATTTATACGTTTAAAATTTATTGAACAAAATTTATAATCGGGTTGTGGAAGTTCGAAATTATAATCTTTCTAGTTTCTTGTATTTTTATTTTTATTACTATGTATATTTATTTATTTGTATATTTATTTTTGATTATACTTTTGAAATTAGTTACCGTAATTTTAAATTTTTTTAAAAAGTTCAGATTAATATTTTTTAGTTGCGTTTATCTTTAATCTTATAATTTTTTTATTATCAAATAAAATTTAGTTATCGTGTTCGAAGTTTTTTTTAAAGCAAAATTCAAATTTTTATTGTAAAAGTATGTAGTTACTATTGTTAGTTGCATTTATTTTAACTTTTTACTTTATATATTTACTTATTTATTATAAATATTAATATTATTAACGGCTTTTATATTTTTTATGTTTATGAAATTTTTTTAATTAAATTTATATTTTTATATATATTGAAATTATTATTTATTTTTTTTGTGTATATTATTAATGCCACCTTGAAAAACTTTTATTTTTTTTTTGTGAATAAAATTTGTTTATAAAAATTTATAATTTTTGTGAATGATTGAATTTATTCTTATTTTATACTACAACTTAAAACTATTATATAATAAAGTTATTATACTGCTTTGTTTATTGTGTTTAAATTTTTATATAAAAATCGTGAGCGTTTGGAATTTTATAATATTTTTATCTGTGAATTTTTTATATTAATTTTTTTATAATAAACTGTAAAACTGAATTGCTTGGATTAAATAATCTTCAAGATTTTGGTTATAAAAATTATAATAATACCGAAATTTACTGATTTTAATATTATTTCTACGAATTTATTATATTATTTGTTAAATTTGAAATGCTTTTTAATTATTTTGTTTTTTGAAATTTTAATCGTTTTTTTGTTTTGTTTTAAACCTTTTTTATACAAAAACTTTTTTTAATTTTTTTATATTTACTTTTTAATTTTTTTCAATTTCTTGTTATCTTTTGAATTATGTTATTTCAACTTATATCTGTTGAATATATATTTATTAATTTAGGATTTATTTATAGTATTTTAAAACTTAATAGTTTTGATTTAATTATTTATTCACTTTATATATAATTTTTTTCACTTTACTTTTTATTTCCTTAATCTGGAAATCGTTATAATAATTTTTTATTTTTATAATAATGAAAACTTCATTCTTTTATTGTACTTCATAAATTTTTTAATGATCTGAAATTTTTCTATTATTTTGATTTTATTAATGATTTTTATTGATTTAATTTTTATTTTTATATGCAACAAAAGTTTACAATTTTTTTTTGTTTATGAAATTTAAATAATTATTTATTTCTTAATTTGTCTACTACATTTTTTTTATTAAATTTTTATGTTATAAATTTTTTAATTTTTTAGATTATAATTTTTTTAAATATTTTACTTTAAATTATAATTTATTAGTAATTTGTGTAAATCTAATATAAATTAGTTAACTTTGTAGATTATTATTTTTATTATACCTTTAACTTGTGTTAATTTTACTTTTTCTTTATACTAAATAGTTTTTTTGTTAATTTTGAAATTTATTATTAATAAACTTTTTAATTTTATTTTATCTTTATTTTATTTTAAAATTATAAATTTTTAGGGAAATTATTTTTTATGTATTTTTTAATTTTGAAATTAAAATTTTATAATTTTTTCTTGTAACTTTTTTTTATTAAATTAATCTTTTTTCTATGATATTTATAGCAACAACTGCAAATCTATAGAATACCACACGACGAATCCGAAGATGAAAGCGAGTAGAAATCTTTCCCCTTTAGAATTTTATATTAATAATATATTTGTAAATTATTATTTATTAAATAAATATTTTTTTTAAAGGTTTTTAAATTTTTTTGGTTCATTGTTTTTTAAGCGGCCTTGTAAACTTTTTGACTTAAAATTCTTATTTAATTATAATTTGTTAGACTATTTTTATTAATTTAGATTTAATATTTCAAAGATTAACAAATATATATTGCGGTTGTGCATTTTCTGTGTTTATAGATTGGAAAATTCTTACCAAAAATCAGAATTCGTTATACAAAAATTGATAATCATTGGTTTTTAGTAAGACTAGTGAAAGTCTTACAGGAATCACGCGATTTACTTGGAAATAAAATTTAAAAAATTAATTATGTAATTGTAAACTTTTTTTAGTGATTATTTAAATCTATTATAAAAATAAAATTTAAGTTTCAATGCTTTAAAGTATACACCTTAAAATTATATCAGTTGAAGCTAACAAAAATCAGTTTTATAAATTGAAAATACGCGTTAAGGATAGTTTTGGTGAACTTTTACATTATAGTAATATTTTTAGCACTTTGAACAACACTAAATTTATTAATATATTTATACGAAATTATTTGTAATTCGCCAAACTTTTACAGTTCTCGGAATCGACAGAAATAAAAATTTAAAAAAAAATCTTTTTATATAAACCCCCATGTAGTTTTTATATACGAGCCGTGCACGCGTTCGCAAAGATAATAAACTTTTAACTAAAAAACTGCAAGATTTTAAAAGTTTTTTCAAAGTTGGGCATCTTAAGCGGAATTTTGAATTTGTTTTTGTCAACGACAATAAAGCTGCTTTACTGTAATGGCTGCAAAAACAACGTTTTTGGTGCAAAAATTATAAATATACAAATAATTAATATAAAATTTGTTTGTATCAAAAAAAAATAAATTCTAACTTTTAAGTACGGATAAAGATATTACAAATTATAACTAGCGTGTAGTAAGTCAAGTAAATTTTTAAAAATCAATTTCCAATTTTTAAATTTTTTATAATTTGAACTTACATGCTACATGTATCCCAAAAACAAATTAGCAAACTATTAAAAAGGATGTTTATAAATATAAGTAGTTAGAAAGTTACTTTCAAATTTCTGTTATAGATATATTAGTTGAGACCAAGTATAAAGAACAGTGGCAAAAGCAGTAAGTGGTTTGAGAATGCTAAGTTAAACTTTATCGGCGCCATTAATATATTAGGAGCCAAATAAATTGATAAAGTGACTTAATAGCTTTTATTTACTTTCGAGGTTTTCATTTCAGGCGTTTGTATTGCTAATGTTAAAAACGTCCTACTTGTAGTCCGTAAATAGTGGGTTTAAATTTTTATTAACGGGTATTATTGTTGTATTTTTTTTTAGACTATTTAGTATTATTATTTTATTGAGTGTTTTATTAATAAATTAATATATAAACTTGTATTTATTTTTTTAAATATTTTTTTGCGCTATATAGTGCATGCACTCTTACTATTAACGTTTTTACCCAATATATATATATGTGCTCCGCGTCTTCCTTTTTATATTTATTTGTTCTCTTTAATGATTTTTAATGTACTTTATTCTAATTCTTTTACTATTTTAATTAGTTTAAGCTAATAGAATTCTTTCTTCACAAATGGCCTATTCTTCTAGAGGTAATTTTACAGTTTTTTTTCTTTTTTATTAATAATTCTTCCTAATTCTGTTGAGATCGAGATTTCTCAAGTCGGGCGCGGGAGCATGATCATTCTTTTGAGTATCCTCGAGGGCATGATAATTGGGATCTCGAGCGAGAAAAGGAGTACTTTCGTGATCGAGATAAAAAAATTTACCACGAGAAAGGCCATTCTTCTTCAGACCATGTTTCTAAAAGCAGACCAACCTTAGCCAATGTTCTTGAACGATTTTTTAATCTTTTTATAGTAAATTTTTATATATACATGCGTGTGTATAGAATCGGGGAAGCTTTGTTAACGTTTCCAGCTCATATACGTCCAGAGCCAATGTTAGCTCGCAGAATTATGAACAAAATTTTTCGACTTCCCAAAGCCGTCCTTCGATGAAGCCTTCGTCGGATACCACCGCACAGCCTAATAATACTTTCCGAGCCAGCGAGCAAGCAACTCAAGAAGAGTTGCCTCCCGGTTGGAAATCTGCAAGTGATCCGCAAGGAAGAATTTATTATTATCATTCTCAGCATCGGTATTTTTGTGTATATATTCCCCAAGTTTTTTTTTCTTTTTTATTTAAAAAATTATTTTTAATTTAAGGATTCCTCAGTGGAATAGACCCGAATGGTCTAAAAGGAACGCCTCAACTCACCGAGGAAGCACCAACTCATTTGCTACTATATCCCCTGCAGCCTCTGTTATGCCTAATGATGATAATACTAATCTCATCTGCATTAACAAAGATAACACTTCCGTTTATAATAATAATACGATAGCAAACGATAATAATAGTGTAACTAAAAGGCATGAAATGCACCTACCATCCTTTTGGGATAATAGCAAAGTTTCTTATGTTAGTAATAGTAATAATAAAAATAATTTAAATAACTTAAATAATAATATGAATAATAATGGTAGCTATAATAATACCAGTAATGCCGCGTTTGCAGCTTCCTTTAACAACCAGCAACCCCAGTTTATAGAAATTGGAGGTGTGAAAGTGGAGGTCCCCCCGTTGGGTGGCAGTCACGTGGTTGAAGCAAACCAGCAGAAAGTGGAAAGCTCTGCGGTTGAAAAAGTTTGATTTCTTTTTTTTCTTTTTTTCTTTTTTGAAAAGTAAATTAATACAACAGAAGTTAATAATTTTTATATTTTCTTTAATTTTTTTTTAGGAAACTGTGCCTTCTGCAGCACATCCAGATAATTCTAAGATTGAGTTTATAGATGCTAAACGGAAGCTTCCCGTTGAATATAGAAATGAGGTTATTATAATTATTTTATAAAAGTTATATTTTAAAGTATTTCCTGATTTGTTAAATTTATAAAGTATTTACATTCCAAAATAAATTTAAAATTAAATAATTTTATATTTATAATTTACTATTGTTAATATTTTTCTTTATAACAATATTGGCTATAGTTTTACTAATTATGTTATTAACTTAAATGATAATATATTAAAAAAACTTTTTTTACATAATTTTTAATAAATATGTATAAGCAAGAAAACAATAATAATTTCGTTTTTGTTATATATTTATTATTTTAATAATTTTTAATAAATTTATTAACTATATAGTAAAGTAATTATTTTTTTCTTTATTACTTATATTATAATACTAATCTTCGTAAATTTTTAAAATATTAAATTTTTTTTTAATTTAGAGGATTTAACAATAAAAGTCCTCATCTTTATTAAGTACAATAATTTTATTAATTATTATTTAATAATTTATTACTATAATTTCTCCACAATAATATATTTTATTTTTTTAAATAAATGCTCTTAGAATTTTTAAATTATAATTTTTTAACATTTTTGCTTTGCATATTAATTTTTTTTTTAAACTTCCTAATATTTTTTATATAATTTACTACTGAAGGAAAGAAAGTTAAGTATTTAGGGAATATGTATATAAACTGTTTTGTTTCGAGTTTTTAATAACATTTATCAGATGGGAATTAAAATAGTAGTCTTTAAAGATTTAATTACAATTTTTTTAAAAATTTTAAACTTAATTTTAGTAGATCTACCAAAAATTTAATTAATAGTAATTAAATGTCAGTCAACTTTTTATAGCAAAACTCTAGTGGTAGCGATTTTTTTTTTAATTTTTTATAAAATTTAGTTTTAAAAATTTACTATTTGTCTTCTTTTCATACATAAACATTAAAATTGGTTCCAGTTTTTTAGGTTTAACTGAAAATTACTTTTTATTATGACGATTTTGGTGCATGTTTTTTAATTAACAAATATATCTTTATTTTATAATTAATAAAGTTTTTAGGGTTTCCCTAAAAATTTCTAAGATGACTAATTTAAGTAAAGCAATAAAGAGTTGTGCTTTATTATAACAGAAAGTAAAGCGGAAAGAATAATAAACAAAAAAAATTGAGACAAACATGGAAGATTAATAGCAGGATTATTTTTGATGGCTACTAACCTTGTTAAGGAACTAATAAGTTTTTGATTTTTAATAAGTTTTGTTAAGTTATAGTTTATTACCTTAATTTTAACACTTGATTTATATATAACTAATTTGTATGAAAGATCTTTTTTTTAATTTATAGAAACCTTTAAAAATTAAAATTATTAAGCCATTGTTTAGTTACATCTAGTAATTACCTTTAAAAAAAGTCGCATTTATAAGGGAAAAAGGAGAATAGCTTGTACTATATAAAGTATTAGTTTAATTTATAGTATTATTCTAGTGCAAAATTTTGTAGTGAAAACGGGCTGCTATTAACACAGATTTAGAAAAAATAAAATAAGTAAAAACGGGCGCACTTATGATTTCTTTTAATTTTCGGAATTTTGTTAGTAATAAATAATAGTTGATTACTTTTAAGTGTAAAAAAAAAAGGAACGAGAATAAAGAATTCTCAAAAACTTTTTTAAATATAGTAAATTTGGGTATTTATAGCTTTTCAAAATTCGGGAATTTTAGTAGTACAATATATTTAGTGTTGAGCAAACCTTTAAACATTATAGGCTCACAGCAAAAAAATCATAGAAATAAATTTTTTTACCTAATGAGCCCTGGTATTTTTAGCTATTTTAAATTATAATTTTTGGGGTACAATAAGTTTATTGTTAAGCAACTTACAAGTGTTATAAAGAACAGCCGATATTGATTTAAACACCGAAGAAAAAAAGATTGCAGATAAAAGGGAATTTCTTTTACAAAACACTATATTTATAGCAAATAAAAATTTTAAATTGTTGGAGTACAATAAATTTAACGTTAAGGAGTTATTAAGTTACAAAAGGAGTAATTCTTGCGCACAAAATAAATAATGTGAGAAGAAAAAAAAATTATGCAATAAACTTTAATATTTGTAGCTTTTTAGTGTTCTGGAATTTTGGAAGTGGAATAGATTTAGTATTAACCTACCGCTCAGTTTTCTAAGAATGTATAATTTGAAGAGGAAGAAAGACTTTTTTATACAATAAACTTTGTAGTATTTATTGCCTTTTATTATTTTGGAACATGTGATGGAGACAGATTTAGTGTAAACTACTGCTAAAATAATAAAGAGCGAGTTGTTTTTAAGGCAAGACCATTAGAATGAGAGAAAGTTGTGTATACTTTATGATTTTTTTAATTTTTTGTTAATCTTAATAAATTTTAATGTTTAGTATTAATGTTTTTATTTATTCTATTAACTTAATTTGTATAGAAAAAAAGTTATTTATAGTTTTTACTTCTTTTCTCTTGTTTTACTTCAAATAGTGAACCGAACGATATAAACTGTAACTATAAGTGTATTATAAATACATTATTATAAAAACATATCTATTTTATGATAATTTTCTATTGAAATATTTACGTAGGAATATAATATAATCTGTTAATGTTATGATTTTGAATTATTCATCAAATATACAATAATTACTGTATGAAAATTTGATGTTATTTGCATTAATGATTTTATACTTCATACTGATTATTTTTAGTTGGTTTAAGGGGGTCAACTTTGCACCTTTTTATAATATTTTTATTATATTCTATATTTTAATTTAGTTTGTACGTAGTTACTTTAAGAATAAAATATTATTTAGCAGTAGCTGTAGAACGCAACGAATTTATTTTACCTTTTTTTTTTGAGCTTTATAATTTTTTTTAATATACATTTATTATGCTTTATACGTTGATATACTTGCGTAGAATTTATAATGCTTTTAAAGAAAAAAGGATTTACTTATTTATTCGTTTCAAAGTCTTATGGCATACGTTAGTAAGCAGTATAATAATTGAAGTATTATAAAAAATTATAACTTTTTTCTTATTGCTACGTTGTCTTTCTTACTTTGTAATAAATTTTAACTTGTTTAAATTTGTTGACTTATTTTGTTTGTCTACATTATATAGATTTCCAATTGTGTTAGAAAATGTTTAGAAAAATATTATGATGAACGTTGCAAAGTAGGAAGAATCACTTCTAAAGAAGATTTTTAAGCGGCTTGCAAGAAGAGTATAACTTATATTTTTCTTTAAATATATTTTTTAAAGTTAATTAAATTTTATATTCCTCTCTTTGTCAGCTTTCGCATATTCTTATGGAAAAGCACGCCAAATACGAGCCCTCTCCAGTTTGGACAGCAGAAGTTGAGCAAAAAACTAAAATTTGGATAAAAAATCACATGCAGCAATACGGCGCCGTTTTTAAATAAGTTGTTATTTTGAAAATTTATAATACTATGTGAATTTTTATGCTTTTTAAGATGAACTGAAACCAATCTGTTAATAGTATTTCCTTTTCAAAATTTATTGCTCCTTAAAGAATGAATTAATTTGAAACCGTTTTGAACGAGATTCTTTTGGAAGTACGAAATAAAAAACAATTCTATTTGCCGTTTTAGTTTTCGTTTTTTTTATACGAGTGTAAATTATACTAAGTTTTGAGATTTTCTAAAACATATATATTTGTTGAAGATTATCAATTCTTTTGTAGATTCTGCCACTGAATTTATAACGTTTATAGATTTATATATATTACATCTGCTATAATTAAAAAATTAAGTGAAGTACATTATACTTTTTACTTGAAAACAATTAATTGCTTTGATTAGCCTTTTTATATTTTCTTAACACTTTTAAAGGAGTAGATGGTTTAGATTTTCCTTTCACCTTTTACAAAAGGCGTACTGGCTTATGTAATATTACACAACTATGATTCGTTACATTCTGCGGTTAATCAGAGTTAATTATTTTTTTTTATTAACTTAGTAAAAGTACTACAAGATTTTTTAAGGTTAAGGAATCTCTTTCGATTTTGTTTCGTGGTTAAGATTGGATTAGTAAGAAGCGGTTTGAAAACATTTTCGCTTCAATTTTTTCATGTCTTTGCTTTTCGTTTTTTATAGAAAAAGAGTATTGAAAATCAACCTGCTTGTTTAAATAATAAGCGAGCGTGTATACCTTTACACTTGATAACTTGATAATTGTGACGAACGTCATTCTCGTTAAGAATAAAATTCTTATTTCTTTAAAAACAATTCCACTATTTTAAACAAACTACTAACTTTTAGTGCTTCTTTTTTAGTCAAGTGAGTTATGTAGTGGAAAGTAGTTTTAAACTTCTTAAGAGTAATTTGAAAATGAAAAAGTTATGGGCACGTTATTTAATTTATTACACTTCTTTTGTTAATATACATCATTACAACTTATTTCAGTGCTTTTCTAACTTTATTGCTTTTATAACTCTTAGAGAAATAAGTTCAGAGTTTAAAGGCCCGCTAACAGAATGGTCTATTGCCTTAGGTTATTTTATTTTAAGTTACTTTTTTATAAACTTTAATTTTTTATTGTAATTTCCAGCCATTGATACATGAAGTAACCTTCTCAAGATTTTATAAGTATTTGGACTGTTATAAATAAAGATTTAAAACATATTATGAAGGTATATAACTTACAGAATTTGTAAAAGTTAACCTGTAGACCCTATGACCAAGATGTTACACAAGAGAGAGGAAAACTGGCTTATTGATTTGCTTTACACTCGCAGATAAGAAAAGCTTGTAGCGAGTGGAGTTGTTTGCACACATATAAACTAACTGAAATAGACGCCTCGAAAATATAAATACTGCTGGTGTGTGCTTACGAGTTTAACTGCATCTTAAATATGCTACTTGGTTTACTTATTTGAAAAACTGATTTAATCAACTTAGAAGCATCAAAAGTAAATTCACTTTTTTAAAAATAAAGTTTAAGTATATAATAAACATAAACTATTAATGCATATTAAAAGTTTTTCAAAACTATTCGGTTGACCGGTTTTCCATCTATGCTGATGCCTCTGCTTACTAATGGCTTGGAAGATTTTACAAATCGAATTACTTAATTTATTTACGGCCATTTTTTCAACGGATTTATGTTTTTTATTGGTTTATATACTTTGGTTAAATATCGATTTGCAGTTTTAGAAGTATTAAGGCCTTCACTCTATTTAAAAATTAATAAAAAAAAAAAGTTTTTTAAACAATTTTTTTTTAAGTGCAATCTTTTTGTTTTTTTTTTTATACAGACATGTTTATTTTAGTTGTAGGTTAAAGTAGAATCTAAAAGTTTTAAAGTCCACTGAATAAACAGCAAAATGATTGCGTCTCTGTATAGTTACAACTATAATATTCTAGGCCTTTTCTTTTTTTTTAACTAAACAATTCTTCAAAATTTTTTTAAAGTTTGACATATTTTATAAATTTAAGAGTTGATATATTTTTTAAATGTGTAGTCTCAATATGACTCATTACTTTTGATATAAACAAAGTTGTCATTGCGATTCTATTATTATAAATAAAAGTAGTTGCAGATGATTGTTATACTTATACGTTAGTTTTAACTTTGCGAAGATTGTAAAAAAAAATTTACTATTTTAATAATGACCTTTTAAGTTTTCGACTAAAAAGTTTTTTAATACGTGTTTTTTATAACTTACAACATAATTAAAGATTGTTCTAAAAAAGTATATTTAGTTTTGTACGAAGTAATAAAAAAGAAAAAAGGTAAAATAGGACAAATTCGTTTATTCCTTATGATTTACCTCCTGAGATTATAAAAAATATATATTTCTAGTTTAGATATTGTTCAGCGTCTTATAATAACTCATACTAAACGGGTATTATTACCTTATACTCAAAAGGTATATAAAATTGTTCAACGGAAAGAAAGCCCTTTAAAGTTAAGATAATTATAACAATATTAGGCCCCATCAGTAGCGTGAAGAATGTTATAAAAAAAAACTAAGAAGTTTATTAACGTTATATCGTTAAAAGTTAAGTAAATGCTTTATTAAGAGTTTTATTCTTATTAACTATCGGATACGATATAGTTAGTTATGTAGCTGTGTGGTCGTTGATTATGTAAATCGCCAGAAGGGTAACAGTTAAAGACAAAAAAAAGATAGATATAAACAATATGTGTGATACATCCCCAGTTCTCTTAAATCTAAACTTTTCATAAAGTATTGGAGTAAAAGCGTGCATCTGTAAAAAGTAGCTTAAGAAGTATAATAAATTATGTATAAAACTAGCGACCTCCGCTTTATTAATTCCTAAGCAACTGTTAAAGATTGAATAGGAAAGCAGCCTTCCTATCCGGCAACAAATATATACTATTTTTAATGTTAGTCTTACTCTTACCGTAAGGGCTGCATGTCAGCGCGCTCACCTCTAAAACTGCTGACAGTAGAGATTTCCCTAGTTATCTCATCTATCCTGCTTCCTCTTTGCAGTGTACTCGCTCGACGTGCTACAACCTGCTAGCTCCCAAACACGGGTCATCTTATATGCAAATTATACGGCGATTTACTCCTCGCCGAGGTCGCCGGCCTTAATACACCAACATCTGCAGTACTAAGTGAATCTCATAGGGGGACACTACTATAACTGCGGAAAAAGCAGAGCCCTTTTTATCACGAAGAACACTGCACCACCGATCTTATAAGGCAAGAAAAACCTTGAGTGTCTCAAAGCGATATATTTGGGGGTCAATATTAACGATGAGCGCTCGTGGCTAAACCGCATTATCCTTTACTTTGTGTCAGATGTTACTCCCGCTGTAACATTAGCGACGTTTGTATGTATGTATCCGGCCACCCACCAATGACTTACTCAGCACACCAATCGACTGCTGACAGAAGGGCTCAGTTACGAACCTTGGAACGGCGCGCGCTATCGCCGACTGCCCAATGGGCTTTGAATTTTATTTATATTTATAATAGGGTTGAGGCTACAACTATATTTCACTATGTTGAGAGCACGTAAATTCGGCGTTTTTTATGACCCGCTGAGTATACGGAAATAATAATAAAAATTAACCTATTATGAGAATCCCTAAGTGGTCTCTTTTTTCTTTAATAACAGGTAATATGTGATAAACAATGAGCAATAAAACGGATCTAGAAAACAGTATCAGAAAAACTCTTGTCAAGAGAAATAAACTTACTATTTAATATAAAAAAATTAGCGAGGCCACGTTTTACTTTAAAATACAATAACAGTTGACTAAAATTATTGGTAACTTATAAAATATTCTTCGCCCTGTTCTAATGACACAACTGCCTTCACACATAAAATTACTTGAATAGCTAAGGCTTGCCTAATCTTTAGACGTTCACTCAGAAATCCAAACTGTTTTACATGTATCTAAAAGGCTTATTGTAAAGGAAATGTGCTTGCTATCCTAAATATAAGTACGTGGGCTAAGTGTTAATTTTTCTTTGCCACTCAAGCCTAAATATATTTGTTCAGCTTCGTAGCAATGGAATTATATAATATAGCGTTAGCAAGCTCGGGAGTATAACTAAAACTAATTTATTATGTGTAAGCCAAGAAATATCGGTGCAAAAAGCTATAGGTAAAGGCTACTAAAAATTTCTAGATATAAGGCCATTTGTTTTAGAAACATTACTTTATGATGTTTAAAGTACTTAATAATCCTTCATAGCTTTAAATAATTTATGTAATACATAATTTTTCGTTTATTCCTTCTTTTCTTGCTCCACTAATATGCATACATCTTTTTTTAAACATCGGTTTTTGCGTTACAGTTTGTGGAGGCTTTCGGATATAATGTGGGCGTGGATTTGGGAAATCTGAATTCGGAAGAGGCGTACCGTGTAAGCGATTGAGGCGAGGTACCACTTTACATTCGCTCTTTACGCAGTTTTCACTGAAAGTTTCCGGCATCATTGTTAATACTAGCGTGGAAAGTTGAAAAAACACCAAACTAATTAATAGTCTTGGTAATGATTTTATCATTTAGCGCAAAGAACAGCAAGCAGTATTCGTTTTCTAATAACAACCAAGTATACGGTATATATACCACTTTAATATACAGTTAAACTATTAGAGCAGGGTGTTAAAGAATGTAATATTTATTTAATAATAAATTCTTCTTCTACACATTGGCTTAAACACTGAATAGTAATGGTACAAGAAGTGTTTGTTCTAGTTTTAATAAAATTATTTATATTAACTGTATTTTATAATCTAATATTAAATATTTTTCTATATAAGCGTTAATGATAGCTTTATCAATTTACCAGTATTTAAAATTTTTTAAAAAAATTTGTCATTGTTCTTACTGACGTAAATATTTTTACCCGTGAGCTGGTCAAAGAATTTATTGACCATCTATGCTAAAGATTTTACCTCGTCATATATTATAAAACTTTTCTATAAGTAAATATTACTTTAACAAAAAAAAATAATGTGTTATTTAAGGTATTGTTTAAATTTTTACTTAATATAGCAAAAAAACGTTATTACTTTTGCTCTTACACCGGAGGATATTTAATAATGGTTAACTACATTGACGACTACCATTTACAACTTTAGTATTTTAAATTTTAATAATAGATTTTATCATCATCAGTTTTAACGTGAATTAAAGGCATTAAATAATTTAGCTGTTTATTATGTCATCCGTATTGTAATTATGTTTTCCCACCTGATTTATATGACTGCTGTTTATTAGTTGGGAGACAACTGTCAGAAACTGAAAGAAAATTAAACTTTTTTTTTTTCAAAAGCTTAAAACTGCATGACACATACAAATTATTCGTTTGCAATATCAAAAAAATGATCTTAAGCTGGATGTACCCCCTAGCACTAAGATTTTTGTACTGTCCCATTCAGATAGCTGCACTAAAATATGTGCTTAAAAGTTCCTTTTTAGAATTATAAACTTCTAAAGCCCTTTAATGAAGTCCAAGCTGCTTCATTAATTAGAAAGTGCTCTAAGGCTACCTACTTAAATTTATTTTGGGAGCTTAATATAATTTATAAGTAAGACTTCGCTACATATACGACGTAATGAGAATTTTTGGGGTAGTATTTGTTTGATTCCTTTAATGAGTTCTGCATTTATAGAACGTTAAGTGCGGAGACAACAAATTAAGCAAGTTAAAAATATTAGAGCGCGTTTTCATAAAGCGGTATTTTATAAAAACCTACGAGTTGAGTTTTTTGTACGGGCAGTTATAAGTAGCCTTTAAACAGAGACATGCCCAAAGTTTTATTTGACTTAGATTTAAAGTGTGAAATATTATTGCTAAGTTAATTAATAATACCTTCCGCCTTGCTTAGTATGTGTTACATAAAATGGAAGCTGGTGGTATCATTATATTACTTTGAATACTATGAGTATTCACGCTCGCATTAACAGAAGTGTTTTTAACTTTAAACTGCAACTACGCTAAATCAAGCTTTTTTGCAGCCCCGATTAATAATTTAAAGTTACTTCTATATTGTGCGACCTGGTTTTATAAATCTATAGAAACTTTTTATTGCAAATACTTGCTTTATATGGCCTTATTACAGGAAAAAAAAAAAAGAAGTTCTAGCATCCTTCCACCCCACTAAAAAAGTCTATTAAATGTTTTTTATCACTCTCTACGACCATAACACCATGCTTTCTTTCCCCCGCCCCTGA